ATCCCACCAATGCGCATTCCGAGGAGGAACCAGAGCTGGGAGGCCTGGGGATGGACTGTCCGATCTCGGGGGCAGAAGTTGCTGAGGTAGTCAAACAACTACACAGCGGCGGAGCCCCGGGGGCGGATGAGGTTCATCCTGGGTATCTCAAGGCTATGGATGTTGTAGGGCTGTCATGGTTGACACGTCTCTACAACATTGCGTGGTCATCGGGGGCAGTTCCTAGGGAGTGGCAGACCGGGGTGGTGGTCCCCATCTTTAAGAAGGGTGACCTGAGGGTGTGTTCCAACTATAGGGGGATCACACTCCTCAGCCTCCCTGGAAAGGTCTACGCCAAGGTACTGGAGAGGAGGGTCCGATCGATAGTTGAATCTCAGATAGAGGAGGAGCAATGTGGTTTTCGTCCTGGCCGTGGAACTGTGGACCAGCTCTATACCCTTGCAAGGGTGATGGAGGCGGCATGGGAGTTTGCCCAACCAATCCACATGTGTTTTGTGGATTTGGAGAAGGCTTATGACCGTGTCCCCAGGGGCACCCTGTGGGGGACGCTCCAGGAGTATGGGGTGGGTGGCTTTCTGTTAAGGGCCATTCAGTCCCTTTACCAGAGGAGCGTGAGTTTGGTCCGCATAGCCGGTAGTAAGTCGGACCTGTTCCCAGTGAGGGTTGGACTCCGCCAGGGCTGCCCTTTGTCACCGGTTCTGTTCATCACTTTTATGGACAGAATTTCTAGACGCAGCCGTGGTGTGGAGTGTGTCGAGTTTGGTGGCAGGAGAATCTCGTCTCTGCTTTTTGCGGATGATGTGGTCCTCCTAGCTTCATCCAGCTCTGACCTTCAGCTCTTGCTGGGTAGGTTCGCGGCCGAATGTGAAGCGGCTGGGATGAGGATCAGCACCTCCAAATCTGAGACCATGGTTCTCGACCGGAAAAGGGTGGCTTGCCACCTCCGGGTCGGGGGAGAGGTCCTACCTCAAGTGGAGGAGTTTAAGTATCTCGGGGTCTTGTTCACGAGTGAGGGTAGGAGGGATCGGGAGATCGACAGGCGGATTGGTTCGGCGTCTGCAGTGATGCGGACGCTGAGCCGATCTGTCGTGGGGAAGAGGGAGCTGAGCCAGAAAGCCAGGCTCTCGATTTACCGGTCGATCTACGTCCCAATCCTCACCTATGGTCATGAGCTTTGGGTAATGACCGAAAGAACGAGATCGCGGATACAAGCGGCCGAAATGAGTTTCCTCCGTAGGGTGGCCGGGCTCAGCCTTAGAGATAGGGTGAGGAGCTCGGACATTCGGGAGGGACTCGGAGTAGAACCGCTGCTCCTCCGGATCGAAAGGAGCCAGTTGAGGTGGTTTGGGCATCTGGTCAGGATGCCTCCTGGACGCCTCCCCGGGGAGGTGTTTCGGGCATGTCCTGCCGGCAGAAGGCCCCCGGGTCGACCTAGGACACGTTGGAGAGGTTACATCTCCAATCTGGTCCGGGAACGCCTTGGGGTCCTGCCGGAGGAGCTGGTGGACAAGGCCGGGGAGAGGACGGCCTGGAGCTCCCTAGTTGGGATGCTGCCCCCGCGACCCGGACCCGGATAAGCGGAGGAAGACGACGACGACAACTTGCCCGTGTTTCTTTGCCGCCATATGTTTGTTCTTGCAGTACGTTCCTCCTTAAAGCAGATGCAGAAAAAACAAAACAACAGAAACATCCTCAATTGTGCTCATGGTGTTCCTGATGAGTGGAATGTCAGAACAACTGTGGACTACCACAAGATTGAGTGAGTGACTTCGGCAATGTGTGAATCATGCCCGTGGCTGAAGCTCTCTAAAGCGCTGCTGCACACCACTCAGATGCCCTCTCATTGTGCTGGCTCCATCATAGCCCTTCCCTCTCAGATTGTTGATGTCAAGGTCCCACTTCTGCAACTGAGATAGAATGGCTTCTGTTATGGATGCAGCACCTGTTTTAACAAGAGGAGTAAAACCCAAGAAATGTTCTCATATTTATTCTCCATTGTCATGCTTCACATAACGAATGCAGAAAGTTGTTCTGTCCCATTTACATCCATTGATTCATCTGCAAGGACTGTGAAAAACCTGGCCCTTTTAATTTTCTTTAATTATGTCCTCTTGAATCTCAGCTTCACAACATGCGATCAGCTGATTCAGAATGATGGGTGCTATGTATTTAGCATTTTTTGGTGCCGTCTGAAGATGATGTTTCAATGTTTCATCAAATGTAGATTTCCATGTGAGAAAATGATAAAAGTTGCCTTCTTCACTTTGTCCTGGCCAGTTTCCACGAAGTGGAATATTTCTCTTTGCCAGGTTTATAATAACATCTAAAATGGAAAGGAGAACTTTGCGATTTACACTAACTTTCTCTGCATAGGTACTGCTCAGAACGGCATTAATGTTTTTCTGTTTTCCCTGTGCAACTGCCAGAAAATTTTCAGCACGCTCAGAGGCCTTTTGATGTGTTGGACTGAAACTGTGGTTTGAGATGATTCCTCGCAAGTCTCCAACTGCATTTTTCCAGCCTTTGAATCCTTGATTAATGAAAACTGTATTGGCTGTTTTTGTGCTAAATGACAAACAAGCAGCACAGTATGCAGAATCTTCTGAAGCTGAATATCTAAGCCAGGGATCCTTCTCCTCCCACTTCATGGACGTAATTTTTTTTTTGGGGGGGGGGGGGGGGGGGGGGACATGTCCCCCCCACTTTTTCAAAAGTCAAGTGTTGACCCCTGCACTTTTTACCATCCAAAAACAATATTACGCTATATTAAACTGACACTGGTTGAGCTCAAAGACCAAGCGGAAAACAACAGTTTGTGTTAAAGCCTGTTTCCCATTAGAGCATACTGTAAAGATGCAAACCCCCCCCCCCCCCCCCCCCCCCCCACACACACACACACACACACTTCTAAAGTGAAAATTACGTCCATGTCCCGCTTTGTTATATCGTAGCAGTTTTTCACCAAACTTTGATTTGGGATAATTATAGCTTCTTAAACCTATGTTTAGGAAGAAAATATTTATTTTCATCTGTTTATGTCTTATTCTCATAGCTTGCTGGATCAAGTTCAGTTGGAGAGATGTGTATTTGATTTACACTTTCTTTCTCACACATGGTCTCTCTCTGCAGTTTCTCTGTCCCCTCTCCTTCAGACTGTTGCTTTCTGCCAGGTTCCTTTTCTTTTTCTTGCAGTTTCTCACAAACCACCGCCATATCATTTTTATATCCTCCTGTTCTCTCATCTGTTCTGTCTTTTTCTCTTTCATCTCTGTCTACTTTCTTCTGTTGTCTACTTTCCTCTGCCCTTCTTTCACCTTGCTCTCCTAAAAAACCCAATAAATAGACCAATTACATCTGCCTTACTTGGAATGTCTTTATGTCTGAATGGATTTTAGATTGAACAAATTCAATTATTTTGTAAAAGAACCTGCTTTATTAACAACGATACATTCTATTATAACACTGACGCTGTAACTTTGCATTGTGCGTTAATAATGAGTTAATACGTGATAATGGTTTTATCTCATAAACAGTTGTCAACTTTATCTCTTTTACCAATATCCTCTCCACCACCTCAATTACTTCTCCGTCTTTTCACCACTTTCATACTACAAAACATAAGTTTTGTTTGGTGCAGCTGCCTTTTCATCGTCAAAACAAAGTAAATACAAAACTAAAGTGAATTTACAAGCCTTTTTGAGTTAATGCATGCGAGACATGTGTTGGACTTGTTTTTGAAGTTTTGTTAGTGATCACTTTCGAAACCGTGTTGATATGACACATCATTTACCGTTTATAATTCATAATTTGTAAGAATGTAATCGGCGATATTAGCATTAGCATTCCTATGGGTTTTTCCATGGGAAATGGCAATTGAAGCTAGGGGCACTCTCAATTTTCTCACCTTAATTTACAAATGAGTCCTGCAGGTGCCACAGTCAACGCAGAGCCATCAGTATGGTAATTTGGACAAAACATCTTATGTTCATTTATGAACAGGAAGCTTTCGGCCATCCAAGCCTCATCTGCAGCCAGTCAGCTTTGTAACTGGGCAGCCACCAGACACAATCACATATAAACACAGCTGGCAGTCATAAGCATATAGGTGAAATGCAATCCCAGGCTGCCCTAAAATGTTGCCTAAAGCCAAGATTACACTGTATTTTCAGCCGTCGCACAGGATTGTTCATGTCACTCTGTGAAAATTGCAGAAAGGTGGCCCACGGTACGACACTAGATTTCAGTGAGGCAGACTGCACAATGTCTTGCTTCATCGGGACATGCTACATCATGAGCACACCTCCCAAAAGCATACATAACTAAGCAGACTGCTAGCCAAAAATGTGTGGATGACTGACAGTGTTGTGAAGCTCCTTGGAGTGTTGAACCCTAACCCTATACAAATACAGGCCATTTACCTTTTTAAACCACTTCAGAGCCCAAGCAGAAATTCCAACACAGTAACAGGTTGTAATCTACTGCAGCAGAAAGGTCTAATAAAACGTTCCTATTGTTATTTGTTGCTAAACCAACCCTGGGACACTGACAGAGACGAGGCTGCCATCCACAGAAGACATTAACGGAAGGGAAAAAACATATTTACATTTATTTTGACTTTTACTCAAAGCCAAATGCACTGCTTTGCACGCCTCTGTTCTACAGTGTATCATTCATCCATTCCCATATACACATTCACACCATGATGGTGATGAGCAACATTGTAGCCACAGCTGGCCTGGGGCTCACTGACAGAGGTGAGGCTTCAGGGCACTGATCCCAGCTGGGATTGATCCAGCAACCCTCCATTATCTGGGTAACCTGATATATATCCTGAGCTACTGCTGCCTCTGTGGGTGGAGCTCTGAAAAGATGGGGTGTCAGGACCCCTTGTAAGGGTGAGTTGGTCCCTGAGTGACCAAAGCAAGACAATAATTTAAAAGAGAAACTAAAGAAATGAAAATGCAAGAAACTAAGCCAGGTCACATAAACAATAAGACATTTCCTAAACAAAAGAGTCAGTCACCTAAAACACAAAGGTACCAAAGTTGGAGCCCTGAGGAACACCACAGGTCAAAGTGAGTGTTACCCAGGATCCCTGTGTTTCCAACAGAGAAAAGGAGATTCTTTAGACTCCTGTTCTGAAACAAGAACAAACCTCCTCACCTCACAGAGATTTATAATGACGCTGATAGCTGAACCAGGAGGAAGGGGAGCTGAGAGAAGAGAAACTACAGATGAAGGAGGAGACGGAGAGATTCAGGGAGGAGCTGAGCTGTTGCTGAACTATAGAACAGACACAAACTTCCACATTCAACACAGTTCAACATACAAACCACAAACATTCACTCTGTTCAACATGGACTGTTGTGGGCTTTCTCTGCTGGTTGTCACTATTCTAACAGGTCAGTTTGAATCTACAGCTTTGGAATATGTTCAGTCTAAACTTAGATGAGTTTGACTCACTCTGAAGAGTTGGTTTTCTAAAAGTTCCAAACTTATTTCTCTTCTTTTAGGAGTCAGCTGTGAACAGCTGACTGCAGTGAAGAATGAAGAGTCCAGTTTAGAAGGAGCCTTTGTTACTCTGTCCTACAATTACTCTAGAGATGCTGCTATTGGTGATTATTTCTTCTGGTACCGGCAAGATCCAGGAGAACCTCCAGAGTTCCTGATCTCTCACACAGGAACAGAAACACTTCTATTACAGAAAGTGTCTGGACTGACTTTTACTGTGAGTGATGATAAAAGACGTGTGGACCTGCTGATCTCCTCTGCTGCAGCGACAGACTCTGCTGTGTACTACTGTGCTGTGAGGCCCACAGTGACAGGAAACAGTAAAAGTGTGTAGAAAACCTGCAGAGCAAAGACAACACAATACTCCACAACATCCACTAGAGGGACTCACACAGTGGGAACCCACTGGTTGTTGAGTTGTTGGACTGATGACAAAGACAACAGACACACAAAGCAGCAGAAACAAGGTGAAGTTGCAGTAAAGCTGGTGGAGTTTAAGTGGTTCAACATCTATAAATTCTGTTTTATCCAAATTCAGAAGCAGGAAATGATTTTAAAACCAGCCTCTAACAGTGGATAGGCATTTTTCTAGTTTAATCAAGTTGTAAGGCCTACCCAGAGAGAGAGGGACAGGCAGCAGAATAACAATAAAGGTTACATCAAATGGACATAGGAGGCCACCCAAAGGCAGCAGATAAATTGAGAACAGCAGTGGGCCCAGTAAAGACTCTTGAGGGACACCATGCTTCAGCACAAAGGTCTCAGACATGTCCTTCTGAATCTGACATCATGTGATCACCCATACAGTTGATTTCAGCCATAAGTGTGTTTCCCGTTACGCTCATATAACGTTCAGTATACCTTCAGCTACACTCGACGGCATCCCCCGGGTGGCCCTGCGGTGGTGGTGTGTGTCTCTGTGTGTGTGTGTGGGGAGGGGGGGGGGGGGGGGGGGGTACTCCGGGAGTATGGAGTATGAGACCATCTGATACAGGCTGTCACGTCCCTGTATGACGGGTGCCAGAGCTTGTCCTCTGGTCCTGCCTCAAGTGGAGGAGTTTAAGCATCTCAGGGTCTTGTTCACAAGTGAGGGAAAGATGGAGCGCGAGACTGATATGTGGATTGGTGCTGCGTCTGCAGTAGGGTTGTCACGGTGTGAAAGTTTAACCTCACGGTTATTGTGACGAAAATTATCACGGTTTTCGGTATTATCGCTGTATTTTTTAAAACGTGTTACATTTTCTGACAACTAAATAAACCCTGTATATCAGGAAAATATTGTCCTCAATTAGTGTCTAAATTTAGCCTAAAATTTGTTATTTTGTAATTATGTTGTTTTTTACACTTTTCCCCTTTCCTATTTAAAATACCAATATTTGCCCATAACTTCTTATTTTTTGTCTGGTTGATGTCATCATTTTAAAAATATTAGATCAGATGATACTCAGTACTCAAGTAGCCTTCTAATCAGATACTTTTTTTACCCTTACTTGAGTAATAAACCCTATATATGGAAAATATTGTCCTCGCTTTGTGTGCATTAGCATTCCTATGGGTTTTTGTATATTAGTGTTGTGCTAACCACCCGCTATCAGTCATATCAAACCCTATCGATTAGAAAATCTCCTTTTGTAACATCACAATTTAATTGCATATGCAGTTAATCGTTCAGCCCTATTTGACAGATGAAAAGAAGTTTGACTAGTATTCAGAGAAAAATAGCATTAAAGTATTTACAGCTATTTATCTCTGTTATCTTTCGCGGTCATCACTCTTCTTCCTATTTCTTATTCTTCTCGTGTTTACTGGCTGAGCCGACCGGCGCTCTTCTTCGTCATTAGTTTGGGTGTCTCGCGTTGTTGTAGCGCCCCTGCCATAACCAGGTGGACAATGCAAGCAGTTGGCGAGCATTCTTTGAATGTTTTTTAAATACACTGAGAAAATACCGAGGTCCAGACCTCGGTGTCCTCAATGGTGGATACGGCCCTGCAGTGACAATAGCTGCAGGTGGATGGAGAGCTGCACCACGACTGAGAGATGGAGGTGGCTGGGCTGGCAGAAATCTCAAGTAGTTTGTTATATTTAGTATGTTTAGAGTAACATTATAAACAATGTTGGTACAAGACAGGTGGATATGTATATGTGCTCAGCACATAACTCTGGCAAGCCCACCAGGATGATGGGGCCGGTGTTGTCTCCATATGTGCTCCCTCCTCAAGATCTAATTCTTTTGCATCCAGCTGCAAGTGGAAATGACCAAATCACAAAAAATAACCCTCACCATAACCACCCTGTAACTAACAATGTATGTTTTGCTTAAATATAATTTTTGAAAATATTATGTGTAGTACAATTTTATGTTTGTTTAAGGGTTATGGTTAGGGTGGGGGTTGGGGTAAGGGTTAGGACATATATCTGTCCACAAATAAAACGCGTGCTGCACACCTTTTTCCTTCTCTAGTCACGGGTGAATAAATGTTCATATTTTTTATAGTTTTTCCACGAGGTATTTTTCATCCTGCTCCGTGTCTGGAACTACAGTAGATATCTTTGTTTTTGAGAGTGCAATAGCGGTGCTGTTGACGATAGCCGTGTCCTGACCAATCACAAGCTAGCATTCTCTGTCTCATTCGACGGATGTTTAGAAAAGAGAGCTCAACTCTGTCCGTCCTTGCGAGCCTGCTGGAGAGCTTTCTTTTCTAAACATCCACCGAATGAGACGGAGAACGCTAGCTGCATGTCTCTGTACCGACGCTGACGCATAAACGAGGCTTTAGGGACCAAGAGCTTTGCCCTGTTTTCTGAATGCAGTGTATGGGGGAGCATACGGACACAGCATGTTACCAAATCCCCTCCAAAAATCTCAAGCTGCAGACAAGCTACAGCAGTCTGACTCACCCCAACTAGGAGGGACTAACAGTAATGGGCTCAACACACGGGAGGTGACATCGCCTCTCCTCCATTCATTTTCAATGAGACATGCACAACAAAGCGATAATTGCGGGTCTCCCTCTTACTAAGCGAAACATGAAAAATGTGCGTGAGAAATTTTGCGCTCGTGCACGTGTTGTGCACAGGTGACCCAGCAACGCAATCCCAGAAAGTTGAAATATTATCAACTTTTCATCGTTGTCCCTCGGAGGAGGACCATTCAACGGAGGTTTCATTCACTGACCAATGAGCGGACCGGATGCTCCGTACATTTCCGAGCAAACACGGAGGGGAAGTTGATTATTAATATGTTTTATATTGTAAAATCACAAGTAGGATTTCACATAACTCTAGCAGCACCTTGTGAAACATCATATCTACCGCTTGTTTAACTCTGAACCGCTTAAATAACCTTAAATCCCTCCAACCTGACACAGCCAATTAAAACAACGGAAGTTTCGATTTTGTCATGGAACAGAACGTGTCGATGGCTTTACCGCTTGCCGCTGATGCGGGTCACCTCCCGTGTGTCACTTAATAAAAGCGACAGCGACAAATTTTGCTGATCGCGGTCGTTTGTCGCCTCCCGTGTGTCGAGCCCATAATCAGGTGTGATGTTATAAATGCATGCACCACGGTTTCAAGATCATGCCCAGACAGAATTAGCTAGAATTTAGACAACTGATAAAAGGAGGATGAAACAATGACATTCACATGGCCATTGAAGCTAGGAGCACTCTCAATTTTCACACCTTAATTTACAAATGAGTCCTGCAGGTGCCACAGTCAACGCAGAGCCATCAGTATGGTAATTTGGACCAAACATCTTATGTTCATTTATGAACAGGAAGCTTTCGGCCATCCAAGCCTCATCTGCAGCCAGTCAGCTTTGTAACTGGGCAGCCACCAGACACAATCACATGAAAACACAGCTGGCAGTCCTCAGCATATAGGTGAAATGCAATCCCATGCTGCCCTAAAATGTCACCTAAAGCCCAGATTACACTGTATTTTCAGCCGTCGCACAGGATTGTTCATGTCACTCTGTGAGAATTGCAGAAAGGTGGCCCACGGTACGACACTAGATTTCAGTGAGGCAGACTGCACAATGTCTCGCTTCAGCAGGACACGCTACATCATGAGCGCACCTCCCAAAAGCATACGTCACTAAGCAGACTGCTAGCCAAAAATGTGTGGATGACTGACTGTGTTGTGAAGCTCCTTGGAGTGTTGAACCCTAACCCTATACAAATACAAGCCATTTACCTTTTTAAACCACTTCAGAGCCCAAGCAGAAATTCCAACACAGTAACAGGTTGTAATCTACTGCAGCAGAAAGGTCTAATAAAACGTGCCTGTTGTTATCTGTTGTTAAACCAACATCTGCCCTGGGACACTGACAGAGACGAGGCTGCCATCCACAGAAGACATTGACGGAAAAGAAAAAAACATATATTTACATTTATTTTGACTTTTACTCAAAGCCAAATCCCCCCCTCAAAAATGCAATTACAAAAATCTGCTGCTTTGCACACCTCTATTCTACAGTGTATCATTCATCCATTCCCATATATATATTCACACCATGGTGGTGATGAGCTACATTGTAGCCACAGCTGGCCTGGGGCTCACTGACAGAGGTGAGTCTTCAGGGCACTGACCCCACCGGTCCCGTCGACCACCACAAGCAGGCAAGAATGGTGAAGTGTCTTGTCCAAGGACACAACAGCATAATTGTCTGCCAGGAGCTGGGATTGATCCAGCCACCCTCCATTGTCTGGGTAACCTGATAAATATCCTGAGCTACTGCTGCCTCTGTGGGTGGAGCTCTGAAAAGATGGGGTGTCAGGACCCCTTGTAAGGGTGAGTTGGTCCCTGAGTGACCAAAGCAAGACAATAATTTAAAAGAGAAACTAAATAAATGAAAATGCAAGAAATTAAGCCAGATTACATAAACAATAAGACATTTCCTAAACAAAAGAGTCAGTCACCTAAAACACAAAGGTACCAAAGTTGGAGCCCTGAGGAACACCACAGGTCAAAGTGAGTGTTACCCAGGATCCCTGTGATTCCAATAGAGAAAAGGAGATTCTTTAGACTCCTGTTCTGAAACAAGAACAAACCTCCTCACCTCACAAAGATTTATAATGACGCTGACAGCTGAACCAGGGGGAAGGGGAGCTGAGAGAAGTGAAACTACAGATGAAGGAGGAGACGGAGAGATTCAGGGAGGAGCTGAGCTGTTACTGAACTATAGAACAGACACAAACTTCCACATTCAACACAGTTCAACATACAAACCACAAACATTCACTCTGTTCAGCATGGACTGTTGTGGGCTTTCTCTGCTGGTTGTCACAATTCTAACAGGTCAGTTTGAATCTACAGCTTTGGAATGTGTTCAGTCTAAAGTTAGATGAGTTTGACTCACTCTGAAGAGTTGGTTTTCTAAAAGTTCCAAACTTATTTCTCTTCTTTTAGGAGTCAGCTGTGAACAGCTGACTGCAGTGAAGAATGAAGAGTCCAGTTTAGAAGGAGCCCCTGTTACTCTGTCCTACAATTACTCTAGAGATGCTGCTATTGGTGATTATTTCTTCTGGTACCGGCAAGATCCAGGAGAACCTCCAGAGTTCCTGATCTCTCACACAGGAACAGAAACACTTATATTACAGAAAGTGTCTGGACTGAGTTTTACTGTGAGTGATGATAAAAGACGCGTGGACCTGCTGATCTCCTCTGCTGCAGCGACAGACTCTGCTGTGTACTACTGTGCTGTGAGGCCCACAGTGACAGGAAACTGTAAAAGTGTGTAGAAAACCTGCAGAGCAAAGACAACACAATACTCCACAACATCCACTAGAGGGACTCACACAGTGGGAACCCACTGGTTGTTGGACTGATGACAAAGACAACAGACACATGAAGCAGCAGAAACAAGGTGAAGTTGCAGTAAAGCTGGTGGAGTTCAAGTGGTTCAACATATATAAATTCTGTTTTATCCAAATTCAGAAGCAGGAAATGATTTTATAACCAGCCTCTAACAGTGGATAGGCATTTTTCTAGTTGAATCAAGTTGTAAGAGCTACCCAGAGAGAGAGGGACAGGCAGCGGAATAACAATAAAAGTTACATCAAATGGACATAGGAGGCCACCCAGAGGCAGCAGATAGATTGAGAACAGCAGTGGGCCCAGTACAGACCCTTGAGGGACTCCATGCTTCAGCACAAAGGTCTCAGACATGTCCTTCTGAATCTGACATCATGTGATCACTCAGACAGGTCTGATTTCAGCCATGAGTGTGTTTCCCATTACTCCCATATAGCTTTCAGTATAGCTTCAACTACACTCCACTGCATCCCCCGGGTGGCCCTGTAATGGGGAGGGGGGGGGGGGGGGTACTCCGGGAGAATGGTGTATCAGACCCTCTGATACAGGCTGTTACGTCCCTGTATGACGGGTGCCAGAGCTTGTCCTCTGGACCTGCCTCAACTGGAGGAGTTTAAGCATCTCAGGGTCTTGTTCACAAGTGAGGGAAAGATGGAGAGCGAGACAGATATGTGGATTGGTGCTGCGTCTGCAGTAGGGTTGTCACAGTGTGAAAATTTAACCTCACGGTTAATATGACGAAAATTATCACGGTTTTCGGTATTCTCGCTGTATTTTTTAAAACGTGTTACATTTTCTGACAACTAAATAAACCCTGTATATCAGGAAAATATTGTCCTCAGTTAGTGTCTAAATGTTGCCTAAAATTTGTTATTTGGTAATTGTGTTTTTTGTTTACATTTTCCCCTTTAGTATATAAATACCAATATTTGCACATAACTTCTTATTTTTTTGTCTGTTTGATGTCATCATTTTAAAAATATTAGATCAGATGATACTCAGTACTCAAGTAGCCTTCTAATCAGATACTTTTTTACCCTTACTTGAGTAATAAACCCTATATCAGGAAAATATTGTCCTCGCTTTGTGTCCTTCCAGTGAGCTTTGCAGATTTGGGAACAATGTCATCGGGCAGTAATCATTGTTTAATTTATTAGTATTCTCGGAGAGAGACCAACTCTTATCTGCCCCTGGGAGCCCCGTAATGTGTAGCGTCATTTCAGAATGGGGAGTGTCCGCGACACGGTTTTTATGCAGGTAGCGGTGCTGCAAGTAGCCCCTGACTGCATTACGCAGATCGGGGTGGGGTGCAATGTGGTTGGAGTCAAACGTTTGACTCCACCCACCGTGCGGGCGCCATAGTGATAAAACCCATTTAGAGGTCGGCCGCCATTTTAGATAGGTCTGCTTCGCCCCCAGTGCACTCATTTCTACAGAGGAACGTGCTAACTAAAAATCACATTTTATTAAGCTTTTTCATAAAATCAGATTTGGTATGGCATGATAATTCAAATATAAATATAATTAAACTAAATAAAATAAATACAAACATCTATCGGTTAGAATTTAAGTTAGGTGCAACATGGGCGGAGTTAAACATTTGACCCCGCTCACTGAAACCATAGACTGAAACCGCTGAGGAGGTTGTGTGTGACTGTGACAGAGAGAGAAGTGGCACGCAGAATGGAGGTAGGTATGGATTTTCAGTTTTAACCAGTGGTGGGCAGTCAGGGCCAGCAAAGCCTTCTCTGCTGGCCTAAACTTACTCAAAAACGTAAGTGTATTTTTTTTCCTTTGGTAAATATTTTTTGAATAAAAATATGTTCACTGGTCAATTTTCTTTTTATCCTATTATACCCACTTGGTTGCGCTGCTTCCAGTGTTGAAATACCAAGGCTGGGTGTTATCCAATCAGATTTAAGCTAGCTTGTGTTTTCAGGCAGATTAAGTCTGCTCTAGGTCTTCAGAATCAATTGAGAAGCCCACTGTCGCAGTAAGTGAACGGAGACGATCTAGTTGCGATAGCCAATCAGCTCACGAGTCAGCGTGGCCCGGGCCAGCTAGCTGGCCTCAAGCAAAAGTTGACATGAACACATCCTGTGATTGGATAAGTAGTAGTTTGAACTTTTCTGGCGGCATTAAGCAAAATATCAAAACTAAACACGGAGATTTGTACCTATAGGCAGCTATCGGTGTATTTTTGTACAAATGATGGCTGAAAGAGGAGAAGGGACGGGCTTGGTGGCAGATTTACTTGCCACACCATTTTCAAGACGGACCTTTCAAGAAAAAATGGATATTGTGAGAACAGGTCGTCCGACTCCAATGCTAGCTGGCTTGTCCCAGCAGGGGAAAGGATTTGTTCGTCATTTTCAGGCAAGCAACTATGAACGGTACCCATGGCTAACAGCTTCAGAGAACCGCTGCAGGCTATTCTGCTGGGAATGCCTGTTGCTCACATCAGATGATCGATTTGGTATTTGGAGTTTTACTGGATTTGCCAATTTAAGTTGTTTCACCAAGGCAGCAAAGAGACACCAAAGCACGGCTGGCCACTTACAAGCTACGGTGCTTTTAAAAACCTTTGGGGACACCCGAGTGGATCTGCAGCTCAGTGAACAGGCGCGCAAGGACACGGAGCTCCACAACGAAAAGGTGAAGAAAAATAGGGAGATATTGAAAAGGCTGATGGATTGTGTCATATTTTTGGGTAAACAGGAACTTTCATTTAGGGGACATGATGAAAACCCCCAGTCATTAAATAGAGGGAATTATGCGGAGCTTCTATCTTTTCTTGCTGAACATGATGCCGACTTGCATTACCACCTGACCACCAACAGGGTCTTTACTGGGACATCAGGCAGAATACAAAATGACCTCATTTATGCTATTGCTGAAGTGATGGGAGATGAGATCAAAATGGAGATCAGAAGAGCCCCTTTTGTCGCCGTCATGGTTGATGAAACCACAGACGTGGGTAACGTGGCACAGCTGGCACTCGTCCTGCGCTATGTGACAGCCACAGGTGTCAAGGAGCGTTTTGTCAAATTTGTGGATGTAACGAGTGGCAGGCGAGCTGATGACCTTGCCGCGCTTATTTTCCGTATTCTTGAGGAATATGAATGCTGTTTGGACAAAGTTGTTGCACAGTGTTACGATGGTGCAGCGGTGATGGCATCTGGACTAAACGGGGTGCAGGCTAAAGTTAAGGAAAAGGCACCTATGGCCTTATTCATTCACTGTGATGCACATCGTCTTAATTTAGTGCTGACTCAAGGGGCCTCAAAGCTTAAAGAGTGCAAGGTCTTTTTTGCCAATCTGAATGGCCTCGCTGCGTTTTTCTCCAGATCCCCGAAGCGCACCAGTTGCTGGATGATGTGTGCAAATGGCGTCTTCCTCGTGTTGCACCAACACGGTGGCAATATTCATCAAGACTGGTGAATGCAGTCTTTGAGAATCGAGTTGCTCTAAAGGAGTTGTTTGGTCACATATTGGACCATCACGACGAGTATGATGAGGACACCGTGCTTTCTGCAGATGGATTTAACGCACGGCTGGACGATTTTGAGTTTTGTTTTTTGCTCAACACATTCAATGGGCTTTTTGAGTATGCTGATGTGCTTTTTGGAATACTGCAGACCAAATCATTGGATGTGCAATTCTGCATGGCCAGGCTGAACGAGTTTTGTGACAAAGTTGAGCAAGAGAGGGGCAATTTCAGTGATATATATGAAGAAGCAATGCGCGCCTCCGGTGGTCCAAGTGTGCGCAGAGGCCAACGCACGGCGCAAGGTGATCTCCGTGCACATTACCAAAAACTCCACAACAGCATTCTGGACAACATTCTTTCCCAGACAAGGAATCGATTTCAGGACCATGAAATGTTGATGTTTCTCTCCCTTCTTGACCCCCAGCACGTTCAGACATACAGAAAAAAATTCCCGACAGCAGCCTTCTCCAGCTTAACAAAGAGCCACGGACCACTGTTTGATCTTCCCCGACTTAAAACAGAACTGACTGTAATGTATGCTATGGCTGATTTTGAAGGAAAAAGTCCCACTGATCTACACGATTTTCTTCTCAGCAAAAACCTGAGTGAGAGTATGGGACAACTTTACGCCCTGGCCTGTTTGGCTGTGACTATCCCGGTGTCCACTGCCTCTGTTGAGCGCTCATTCTCAGCATTAAAGCGCGTTAAAATGTACGCCAGAAACACGACCGGACAGACACGGCTTTCAGCATTAGCCTCCATGTCCATAGAAAAGGCTCTACTCATGGACCTGAAGCGCACAGATAAACTGTATGACAGAGCCATTGAGGTTTTCCTGAGGAAAGAAAGAAGGATGGATTTTATTTTCAAATGAGCAGGAGAGGAGGAGATCCATGCTGGACATTTATGTTGGTGAGTAGAAACATTTTATTAGTATTTTTTTATGTTTTGTCATTTTATTTCGTTAATAATCAAGAAATGGTAACGAAATAAAATGGCTAAATGAAATTATTCTGTTTCTATGCCATTAATGTTGTGTACAACGTGGTGTGCGCAGCTGCGCCAACATTGTTTCGCGGTGCCATTTTCTCCTAAACAAATGCAAATGTGTTTGCTTTACTTATTTATTTTATTGTCTCATCTCTTAAACCTGTCTTTCATTTTTGAGATTTGACAGTATCTGTGGTCTTAGCTTCCTACCCTCAATTGGGAATGCGAGTTTGATTTCAAAGGCTCCGGAAATTACATGTCTTGACCAGCCACTGGTGTGTGTGTGTGTGAGAGAGAGAGAGTGAAAGAGAGAGGTTTCTCCAGCTGTGATGTCATATTGATGGTATTTTAAGGTGTATTAATTTAGATTGGATTGAATAGGAAATCACCGAAGGCGCAGGGGTGGAATGCACCGCCCGCCACTGGTTTTAACGATACTAAGGATTAATGTGGCGAAAATGTTATTAACCTGGACTTAAAAAGTCTTTTTCTGAGTTTTAGATTAATGTAATGGTATTATCTTTACTTAAAAAGTATTTTTCTCAGTAGTACATTATTAAGATAGACTTCAAAAGTATCTGGCACGATGTACTGTTGATAAGAAATATAGCTTTGGGGGAAAATGTTATGTGATCACTTTTGGGGGGAAATGGGCTAGGCTTTCAGAATCTGTCTGTGAAGCCTCAGGTATTGTTCAAACCAGTATTATTACACACAACCCACAAGGTTGTAGAAATGGGATGTGACAAAGTGGGTTTTGCGGTTATTACTCCATTTACATTAAACCAGTATGCTTAAAATAAGCTAGTGATTTTTTTTACATTTTGTATTGTTAATATGCCTTTAAGAAGCACAATCTGTGTCCTTTCTAGCGGAGGCTGAGAACAGGCCAGAACGAGGAACAGGGAACCGAGTATGTTACCTGCTGCTGGGCTTTTCTAATTTCACTGTTTCTGCCTTCTCCAACTTGTATTTTAATATTTGTTGTGTTTACTTTTGATTAGGAGAATTCTCAGCTGAAAGACACTTTTGAGGCAGCAAGGTGGTGTGGCACCAGATCCTTCAAAGGAAAACTTTCCCTTCCCCAGGTCATCAACAAGGACGCTTCCTCGAGGGCAGTACAGATGTTACACATGTGTGATGGCCTTGTAGCATCCAGCAAGGGTCAGTTTAGGCACTGTCTTACCTTTCACCATCTATTCAACATCTGGTCAGAAAGGAGACACAACATTGCATGTGTTCCTTTTAAAATGAGTCTGCCTTCACACCAGCTGGGATTCAGACTCTGCTAGTCTGAAAGATAAACAATAACTTTCTTTCCCCAAGGTCCATCTGTCTGCCTCCAGAAGAAAGAAGATCCTGCTCAAATCAGTTGCTAAATTCAAGAGTGATTTATTAACTTCTTTTATGACTTATAATCTAGATAATCATTAAATAATGTTTGTTTATTGCTGCTTATAATAATTATAGTGTGGAATGCTTCATTAATCTGTGCACACCGAATGGATGTTATCTTATGATGTCTACTAAGACTGCCATGTGTTCAACATGTTTTGACGACAAGGTCCACACATCTGCACTCACACATAAGTGTTGCTAAGTTAAACCCTGACACATTGTATTAACCCAGTCAGAACATCCTGTATCTAGATGGCGTGTTTCTGAGTAGTCTTCGTAACATCTCTCAAACTTGTCAGCCTCTGATTGGCTGTTCAAATCATAACAGCAAATCTTAAAACTAGAGCATTCTGAGAAATTAAACAGTTCTAGAGAATCACTCAGACTGACCATCTGTAGCAAAACCTCTTCAAACATCAAAAATTTTGGCACGTCGTCAAAACCTTGTTGCACCTGCAAAGCTGATGAGCAAACAGTTCCTGCATAAACAAAGCTGATATTGTTCAACTCCTTAAGAGTTATTCCTGAGACGCACGCTGATCCCAACCTGTGCTGCCTGGTGACAACTTTGGACTGGAGAAGTCGGTGCTTGCGGTCAATCTACCAGACCTGGGTGCCCCGAGGTCATCCGACCTCTCTGACCTCCGGGTCCGTGATGAGGGTCATCAAAAGGGTGAGGTAGAACACAGAGAGATTGGGTCTGATGTGCTTCTGATGATAACAACTTGTAGCTTAGAGCAAACCAAATTCTTTTCACCAGAACTTGGCTTATTTTGATAAGGAAGCTCTGACTGATATCGCATTCACACATAGGTTCCTTCAGCATGTTTAGCTCCATCCAATCACAGTTAATGCTTAGTTAATTAGTCATGTTTTAAATTGTAAAATAAATTCTTACTTTTATAAGTTTGACTCTTTCTTGAAGTAACACGAAGTGTGGTTGATCACTGAAACTGCAAAGAACTTAGATCTTCTGAAATAAATCCTACAATCTTCTGATTAATTACAATAAAGACCTTGCAGGTAAATATTTTATATTTATATAAAATATTACATCTTCATGGTCATATCAGATAAAACCATCAATTTGCCTCCGCTACAGCCTGGATGATGATCATGAGGAGCTTAAAGACGTGAGGGAACCGTTCCTGTTCACTTTTAGTTTGCAGGAAGACTACGAGAAGTTCTGTGTTGAACTTTGTGACAAGAGGAAGATGCAGGTGTTTGCAGGATTTGACACCCCATAAAATCTTTTTCCCTGCAGTAATGTGTTGGGAGTGTTTGGGTCTGGGTGTTATGGTAATAATTTTTGTGTTCAGTTTCCTCAGTAAGTTTTTTTTAGAGGATTTTTTTGTGTGTGTTTTTTTGGTTCTTTTGTTTGTATTTTTATACCTGTGTCCTACTGTTGGCTTTTGTTTGCATTATTAAATTTACCTTTTTTAAACAATAAGTCTGCATCCTTGGGTCCACTGTCTCACCACCCCACCTCAAACCCTGGCATATTTTAATAAGTGTTAATGACACAATTCATTCTCTGTCCCCCTTAATGTAGCTGACATAACTGAGTGCACAAAAATTGTACGTGTCTATATCTATACTGTTTTCACACTCACTTGTAAAATAAATATTTAAAAATAATAATAAAATAATGGCAGCATGGATAAAATAATGCCCCTCAGGGTTAGCCCATATTACCATTGTTTTAATACTGTTTTATTTACAAGAATGTATATATAATATTATATAACCTTAGTATTTGGTGGTATTTACATAAACACATTTTGGCACCAGACCTGATCATGATATAAATAATAATTAAATGGTGCCCCATACAGTTTTTTTATTTAATTATAAGCTTAGGTGTAACATATCAGCAGCGCTGGCGCTCCGCACACGCACATCACGCACAGCGCGTAGGGCACCCCGCCGGGGGAGGGGTACCAAATGCAAGCTTATGAAAAAATAATATATATATATGATAGACAGATTTCAATTAGAAGATGTGCAAAGCAAGTTAACAGCATGTTTACAGAGAGAAAACAATACAAAAAGGAAAGGAGATGGACCGTGTCCACTTTTCACTCTCTGTCCGGGCGGATTCTTGTATTGATGAAAATGTCCGGCTTTTCATCCAGGAGCAGAGAACGAATTATGGGGGAGCTGTATATCCTACACATCCAGGGGAGCCGGAAAAAACAACAGAATTGTCTGCCAGGAGATGGGATTGATCCAGCAACCCTCCATTGTCTGGGTAAACTGATATATGTCCTGAGCTACTGCTGCCTCTGTGGGTGGAGCTCTGAAAAGATGGGGTGTCAGGACCCCTTGTAAGGGTGAGTTGGTCCCTGAGTGACCAATGCAAGACAATAATTTAAAAGAGAAACTAAAGAAACGAAAATGCAAGAAACTACGCCAGGTCACATAAACAATAAGACATTTCCTAAACAAAAGAGTCAGTCACCTAAAACACAAAGGTACCAAAGATAGAGCCCTGAGGAGCACCACAGGTCAAAGTGAGTGTTACCCAGGATCCCTGTGTTTCCAACCGAGAAAAGGAGATTCTTTAGACTCCTGTTCTGAAACAAGAACAAACCTCCTCACCTCACAAAGATTTATAATGACGCTGACAGCTGAACCAGGAGGAAGGGGAGCTGAGAGAAGTGAAACTACAGATGAAGGAGGAGACGGAGAGATTCAGGGAGGAGCTGAGCTGTTACTGAACTATAGAACAGACACAAACTTCCACATTCAACACAGTTCAACATACAAACCACAAACATTCACTCTGTTCAACATGGACTGTTGTGGACTTTCTCTCCTGGTTGTCACAATTCTAACAGGTCAGTTTGAATCTACAGCTTTGGAATATGTTCATTCTAAAGTTAGATGAGTTTGACTCACTCTGAAGAGTTGGTTTTCTAAAAGGTCCAAACTTATTTCTCTTCTTTTAGGAGTCAGCTGTGAACAGCTGACTGCAGTGAAGAATGAAGAGTCCAGTTTAGAAGGAGCCCCTGTTACTCTGTCCTACAATTACTCTAGAGATGCTGCTATTGGTGATTATTTCTTCTGGTACCGGCAAGATCCAGGAGAACCTCCAGAGTTCCTGATCTCTCACACAGGAACAGAAACACTTCTATTACAGAAAGTGTCTGGACTGAGTTTTACTGTGAGTGATGATAAAAGACGCGTGGACCTGCTGATCTCCTCTGCTGCAGCGACAGACTCTGCTGTGTACTACTGTGCTGTGAGGCCCACAGTGACAGGAAACAGTAAAAGTGTGTAGAAAACCTGCAGAGCAAAGACAACACAATACTCCACAACATCCACTAGTGGGACTCACACAGTGGGAACCCACTGGTTGTTGAGTTGTTGGACTGATGACAAAGACAACAGACACATGAAGCAGCAGAAACAAGGTGAAGTTGCAGTAAAGCTGGTGGAGTTCAAGTGGTTCAACATCTATAAATTCTGTTTTATCCAAATTCAAAAGCAGGAAATGATTTTATAACCAGCCTCTAACAGTGGATAGGCATTTTTCTAGTTTAATCAAGTTGTAAGGCCTACCCAGTGAGAGAGGGACAGGCAGCAGAATAACAATAAATGTTACATCAGATGGACATAGGAGGCCACCCAGAGGCAGCAGATAGATTGAAAACAGTAGTGGGCTCAGTCCTTGAGAGACTCCATGCTTCAACACAAAGGTCTCAAACATGTCCTTCTGAATCTGACATCATGTGATCTCCCAGACAGCTCTGATTTAAGCCATGAATGTGTTTCCCATTACGCCCATATGACGTTCAGTTTAGTTTCAGCTACACTCCACTGCATCCCCCGGGAGGCCCTGTCGGGGGGGGGGGGGGGGGGGGGGGAGACTCCTGGAGTATGGGGTACCGGACCCTCTGATACAGGCTGTTATGTCCCTGTATGACGGGTGCCAGAGCTTTACCTTTGGTCCTGCCTCAAGTGGAGGAGTTCAAGCATCTCAGAGTCTTGTTTACAAGTGAGGGAAAGATGAGGCACGAGACCGATAGGCGGATTGGTGCTGCGTCTGCAGTGATGCGGGTGTTGTACCGATCTGTCGTGGTGAAGAGAGCTGAGCTAGAAAGAGGGGCTTGTAGTAGATCCGCTACTCCTCCACACTGGTATGGGTCAGCACGCCTACACCACAGCTACGGTATTCCACTGAGATACTATATTTTTTAAAAACAAGACGGTTATTATTTTCAACTTTTTTACCAGGGTTTACTGCTACACCAGTTACCATGACAACCCTAGTCTGCAGTGATGCAGGAGTTGTGCCGGTCGTCGTGGTGAAGAGAGAGCTGAGGGCTCGGAATAGATCCGCTGCTCCTCCACACTGAGAAGAGCCAGTTGAGGTGGCTCGGACATCTGAGTAGGATGCCTCCTGGACGCCTCCCTGGTGAAGTTTTCCGGGCACGGCCAACCAGGAGAAGACCTAAAAGCAGACCAGGGCACGCTGGAGGGACTATGTCTCTCAGTTGACCAGGGAACGCCTTGGGATTCCCCCGGAGGAGCTGGCCTAAGTAGCTGAAGAGAGGGAAGTGTGGGCCTCTCTGCTTAGGCTGCTGCCCCCGCGACCTGACTCTGACTTCATCTTCAGGTGATAAGTTTGCAGAACAATCCAAAGATTCTGATGGTTCTGTACATGTTTTCATTTAGCTCTGGACATTGACATTGATGGACGTTGAGTTGAGTTGAGGATTAAGTCCTGGTCAGGTTTCACCATCGACTCGTTCCTCAGGCAGAAAACATTTATGTGGCTTTTCCTCTGGCTCCTCCCACCATTGTAGAACTCAGCCAATCAGACGGTTTGTGTGTGCAGAACTAAAGCATCCTGATGCTGAGGAGAAGGGCTGTGCAGCTCAGAAGCTGCTTAGCTTCATTCTGGTGCAGTGCTGTGTGACTTTAACAAGTGAAACATGTTACTTTACCTCTTTCTGCTTTTCTCTCACTGCATTGGTGAGTGCCAGAACACAGAAAGACCTGACTGGGAGCAGACCTGCTCTGGTTTTCTAAATCATTCTGACTGATCACATGTGAACCCTGAAGTGAAGAACTTCTGTTGAGTCTCTTGATGTCTGAATCTCCTGCAGACTAACTGACATGAAGGTGTCTTTTTGCAGCCATGGGCTCCACCAACAAGATCATCCAGGAACAGAGTGGAGTTGTTGCAGAGGGAACAGGCATCAGCTTGAGCTGTGAGTACGACGGTTCTATCTACAGTATCCAGTGGTACCGACACCAGCAGAAATCCAGACCAGAGTTCCTGCTCTACATCACAGAGGGAGGATCCATTCATCCAATTCGGTCTGATTTCTCAGCTCGTATAAACAAAACACAGAAACGTGTGGACCTGCTGATCTCCTCTGCTGCAGCGACAGACTCTGCTGTGTACTACTGTGCTCTGCAGCCCACAGTGACAGGAAACAGTAAAAGTGTGTAGAAAACCTGCAGAGCAAAGACAACACAATACTCCACAACATCCACTAGAGGGACTCACACACTGGGAACCCACTGGTTGTTGAGTTGTTGGACTGATAACAAAGACAACAGACACATGGAGCAGCAGAAACAAGGTGGAGTTGCAATAAAGCTGGTGGAGTTCAAGTGGTTCAACATCTATAAATTCTGTTTTATCCAAATTCAGAAGCAGGAAATGATTTTACAACCAGCTTCTAACAGTGGATAGGCATTTTTCTAGTTTAATCAAGTTGTAAGGGCTACCCAGAGAGAGAGGGACAGGCAGCCGATTAACAATAAAGGTTACATCAAATGGACATAGGAGGCCACCCAGAGACAGCAGATAGATTGAGAACAGCAGTGGGCCCAGTACTGTCACGTTGAGAGGATTGTTTGGACCCAAAATGCAGATACCCAGGATGACACGAGGCAGGAGTTGATATAAAGAAAGTCCTTTTATTGTAGGATGAGTCCAAAAATAAAAATAAATCCAAAAGGCAGGGAGCCAAAATCCAAAAATCAGGAAATGATCAGGACATCCAAAAACACCAGAGGAACGGGCAGACTAACAGAATAAATCACGCTGACAAACAACAATGAACCGACAAGATAATGAGAAACAGACAGGGCTTTATAGACTGGGGCATAATGGGAGGCAGATGAGCTGCAGGTGTGTGGGGAGAGAACCAGGTGAAGGCAATAACTAATCAGGGAGGAGGAGCAGGGGAGGACACCGGACCTGACTGGAGAAGAACACACACACACACACACACACACACACACACACACACACACACACACACACACACACACACACACACACACACACACACACACACACACACACACACACACACTAAGCTGGGGAATGACACACACACAGAGCTGGGACAAAGAGGCTGGAGCTACAACTGGAGGGGCTGGGGATGACCTGAAAGGCTACAAACAGAAGGCACATAAATAAGATGCAGACAAAGGACACATGAGGGCGCTAAGAGACACAAATGGGGAATCTAAAGAGGGATGGAGGACATCAGGAGACACATGGGGAAAGACGCAGACACAGACCATGACAAGTACAGACCCTTGAGGGACTCCATGCTTCAGCACAAAGGTTTCAGACATGTCCTTCTGAATCTGACATCATGTGATCTCCCAGACAGCTCTGATTTCAGCCATAAGTGTGTTTCTCGTTACTCCCATATAACATTCTAGCCTGTCCAGTGGTCTGCTGTGTCAAAAGCAGCATTTAGATTCAGCAGCAACAAGACTGGTTTTTAACCACTGTCCACCTTAAACAACAAGTTCTTCACCATTTTCACCAGTGTAGTGTTGTACATATCTTTATACCTCAGCTATGCAGCAATGTGGTTCTCCTTCAAACTCAAAGGGAACACTGTTAGCAGGGTTTGATGTGGTACACCTCTTTATGACAGCGCCAGGGTATGTCAGTAGTGGCATATACTGCAGGCATCTTGCTTGGTTTAACACAAACTTTCCTCGGTTGATCAGTTCAGATATATTATGATGTGTGTAGATTGTGACAAGATATCCCATTGTTCTCACTGAGGCTTTCTCATCAGCATTACGCAAAGCAGCCAATCCTTGATGACAAGGGGGCCATCCCTGTGCCACAGTGGCCGTGTTCGAGTTGAGCTGCGCCTCGCCTGGAAAACAGACGAGAGCAGACGGAAGCAGCAGGGGGAGTGGCTGAAAGCCGGCGTTTAAGTCGGACACAATTTCCTGCATGTGTAGCTCGCGGGTGACGATGGCTGAAGATATCGCGTTAGCGTTCATAATAGCGGATGGAATAGATGCAGATGAAATACATGAAAATGGATATCAACTGCGAAGGTAGGTAACCGCATTAAAGTAGTACAACGCCAAATACAACCGCCATGTGCATTTGTTTCCGTTTCTTTGTTTAAGTTCTAAAAATTCATTTGGAAATAGTCCAAAAGTTAAACAAAGCTGCAGATTTCGCCTTTGAAGATACTGCTTCAGATGTAAATTAGAATAATAATGTGCATATAATTTCTTTCAGGTCTGTGCCAAAAGTGAAGCACTTTGTTGAGAATGTTATTCCTTTATACCGTCATTCTGACTTTAAAAGCCACTTCAGACTTTCCAGAGGACAAGTGGAGGTAGGCTTTTGTGATGGTTACCACTACTCATATTTGCTCAGACATCATGTTCACTTTCTGACTTTTCCATTTAGTATCTAGTGATGGCACTGGGACCATTCCACATGAACAGACAGCACACCAAATTAGCCCTGTCCAAAAGTGTTCTTGCCTGTCTGTGGACGCTGGCAAATCAGGAGTCATACAGGGGAGTGGCGGACCGTTTTAACATATCCAACATATCTACAGTTTTTGCACAACTCCATCACTTCTGCTCCCTGGTCATCACACATTTGTTGGCCTACTGGTGAACAGCTTCACACCTCACAGCTCGGATTTCAGAGGGCAGGTTTTTCCAAATACAGTCTGTGTTGTTGATGGATGTCACATTCCCTTTGTCAGACCAAATTGCACCCTGGCAGCTGGCATGATGCAAGAGCCTTTCACCACACAACTGTTGCACACCTACTGGAAGAAGACCCCCAGGCTCTGGTCCCAAGTGGCATGCACATCATTGGAGATTCACCTTACCCCCTATTGCCACAGCTGATGAAGCCTTGCAGGGATAATGGGCACCTCAAAGCCAACCAAAGTTACTTTAATAGAAAACTGAATGTGGCGTGTGTTGTCATTGAACACACATTTGGCATGCTGAAAGCAAAGTTTAGGAGGCTCAAATGTCTTCACATGAAAGACATAGGACATATTAGTGCAACTGTGACAGCATGCTGCATTCTGTACAGCATTTGTTTGGATCCCAGTGACCATGTGGAGGAGGATGAGCTAGAGCAGGACGAGAATGACCCACATCCACCACAACCCAACAATGAAGATGCTTCAAACTACAGAGACAGGATTTGTTCCCAGATTTAAGCTAGCCCCACCCTTACCCCAGCACCTTATCCAATGTTTGGTTTTATTCTTCATTCCCACACATTTATGTGAGCTGGTGTGCTGTATGCCACAGGGGGATTTGATGCACTTTAAGTGAAATCAGTCTGCTCTAACTCCTAAATCTGTACATTAAGTTTTAAACAAAGTGCATCTCTATCATCAAGACTCCTGATGTGCCTCCCAGTGGCAGCTCATGGAAACTGGGTGATAAGAACCCAGGCAAAACCATCAGGGGATCTTGGAGCATCAGTGGTGCCCAGAGGCAAAGTGACATTACCGTTTGTAATTTGACATGCAGACCACTGCTTTTATGCTAAATCCTTTAAAGATAAGAAACAAAAATACCTTTAACGCACAGCTATAAATGTTTATTTAGAGTGTCCTAACAAACTGATAAGTTTTTCTTGCTGCTTTCCAAGTTCTTTTAACTGATTCAGGATTTGACCCATACATGTAATTACTTGTTTCTCAAACCCCCTTCTTCTTTTTTCTTTCAGCCGTCTCCAGTTGGCCAATTCTGGCCTTGTAAGTGACTCCAAGGCAGTGGTCCTGCGCTCAGCATGGGCCTCATAGGACTGAAAAAACGCTGGGAGATGAGCAGAGCCGGATTAAATAAATGGACTACACTAGGCAGGCTGCATTTTTATATTAAATATAAATATATTTAATCACTACATTTAATTAAAAAGATTTTCTGCTAAATACAATAGCTTACAACATTTATAAATTATGACAAATTAATCACATGATGGTGGAAAGACATTCAAGAATAAATGGATTCATTTGAATGGACTGAAGCATGTTTTAAAGGCTCGAAAACAAACTATAAACACACAGCTTAAATTATTACAGTATAAATTTTATACAATCTATAATCTTAAAAGAAAGTATTTTAATAAAATGAAAACATTATCTTAAGTTTTGATCTTGCTTTATGCTCATTCAGGCTGTTTTTGCCTCTGCTGAATCAGAAATTCTGTGTCAATTTTCTGAGTGTGAACTTATTGTTTTGCTATTTGAACATTAATAAAAAATATTTGACAAATAATTAATAAAACCAGCAACACTTACCAAGGAAACCATTTAGCATGCTCCACTACTGAATAATCTTCAGCCTTCCAGCAACACAGGCCTCAATCACAGCAGAAACACGTCTGAAGAAATGTTCCTTGGTTAAGCTTCGGTTCATGTCTCCAGATTTCCTCTGTGATGCCGAAGAATATCCAGTATTTTGAGAGGGATGGTTTAGTGCAAAGTACTCACGCATCCTGTCATCAGTTTGGTACCACTTTGCAGGATCAGATGGGTAGCTAGTTGTTAATACCCTTTCTGGGTCTTGAGGCTCCTATAAGACTATATTGGGCTCACTTCTGGCTGGCTGCTGTTCTTCCAGTTTGTCCTTCTGTGAAGGCGTTGATGTTGACGGCGTTGGCTCTACAGCGTCTTCCGCCGCATCTTCCACCACGTCTTCGGGTCGTGTCTCCTCCGGGTCGGACTTGGGCCCGGCCTCTGCTGACTCGAGCAGGTTCACAGCTGTCGGACGGTTTCCCGAGCAGCCCGACAGAAACTTCTGTAAAGCCCCCTGCTGTCTCTTCTTTAGTTCCTCTTCTTTTTTTTTCTTTTTTTTTACGTTTTGCCACACCCGAAAGCATCTTGAAAGTTAGCCTACTCAAAAACACCTGCTAGCTTTGTTGTGTCCCGCTCTGACTCTGACCGCTTCTCTGACGTCCTTCATTGGGTGGCGCCTTAACCCTCTGGGGTCCAGGGTGTAATTTGCCGTGAGTTTTCCTTTGTATTATTTCCAAAATAAAAACCATAACCACTGCCTTATGTGGTATCAATCTTTTCAGCACAACCTGGACTTTATGAATCTATACTTATTTTGTATATTTGGACATAAAGGGGTTGCATATTAGACCTTAAATCACTCAAAAACATAAAATTTCAATTGGAAAAAAGTTGTTTATTTTACTGTGAAACCAACAAACATTTATGACGAATGTTTTTATCATTTAGAATGGTAATCTAGACTGTACATTTATAAAAATTATGACTAAATATAGCAAATAACTAATTTAAAAAAATTATTAGCCCTCTGGGATCCAGAGTGTAAATCACCGTTTTTGACTCATTTTGGTTTTTCTTTTGTATTTTCTAATAAAAACAATAAATATTGCCTTATGGGGTATCATTATTTTCAGGACAACCTGGACTATCTGAATTTATACTTATTTTATTAATTTGGCAATAATATACATGGATTTTGGAGTGGGGAGTGGCTCTGTCTCACGCCGAGATCTGACAGCTGCGCGGCGCCGCCCACTCCTCTTGTTGGATCTCTGAGGAGCTGGATCTCTGCCTTCATCCTCTACCTCATCATGACCCAACTCTTCTATGAGGAAGGATGGATCTGCCACATCGTCATCAACATCCTCGCTGTTTGCCTCAGACTCCGGCTGCGAGTCTCCGTCCACTTCCTCTGCTTCCAGTTCAAAAACAGCTGTACTATCTGAACTGCCTGGTTTACATTTATCCTTCTCATCATCCTTTATTAAAGCCTAGTAAAAGCCTGCTAAACTGCAGCGACAATATATCTGTCCGGATCGCTCCACAATATGAAGTTTACCGTCAATATCTGTCTAACTGTTTGTTGTTACTCCGTTCGCGCCACTCCTTTCCCCGCGAAGCGGCTCCTTTTTGCGCACATCTCATTACTCGTGCAGCCTTCCTCTCTCTCAGCTACAAAATGATACTTTTTACCAACAGCAAAAGGATCTCATGTTTTTGTGTGGGTTTTTTATGTTCACAAGCACATTCCCGCTCACGGATTACTAAACTGCTGTTTTGACAAGTTATCAGATTGTCTAAAAATAGGTCGTTTTTTAGTTTAGTTTAACTCCGCTTTTACGTTGCCTATTAACAAAATTTAAAAAGTGGGGTGTAGTTTATAATCTCCTTTTTAAAGCCAAATTGAAACCGAAACTCAGGGAGGCGGAGTCTTGCTGCTACAGCGTCCCAAATAAGACCTGTTCAAAAGACGCGTATACTCGTCCCCAGAGGTTTAATGTGACTGTAGCCATTGAAACGGTCTATGGTTAAGATAAACATTGTCACTATTTTTAGTTAATAAATAAATATTGAAACAAATTGTAGATAGGAGTCCTAGCTACAAATTCTATCATAGGACATTTGTACATTTAATTTTTAATTTATTTATTTTTAATTTTGTTCCTCTGTCTGGGCCCCATCCAGCCAATCAGGCCCTAGGCACGTGCCTACTTTGCCTTTGCGTTAATCCGGCTCTGGAGATGAGCAGTCTTGCTTCTCTTAGAGCCAGAAGCTTGTCCGCCCTGTATGGCCAATGACGGACCAGGTTGCTCTTCGGTTTCAGCAGGTGATCACTGAGCCACTGAAGGATGGGCTTCTTTAGGAAAGAGGGGAGTTGAAACAGTTGTGCCAGGTGGTGCATGCCCCACCGCTGTGCGACCAAAAAGTTCATCCATTTGCTGACAGAAGAGGAATAAACAATTTTCATTAGTTATTGTAGAACTTTACTGATGGTGGAACTTATCATGACAGTTGTTTCTTCATTAAAGCTTATGGCGACAACCAATAACTGTGGCTGTCTCCATTCAACATTGAGAACTCAACAAACTGAGAAAGCTCTCTGGAATGAGAGGGTGAAATGTTGTTAAAGAAATAACATAATCCAGTTGCTGTTTGACAACCTTTTTTAAAATAACTATGACCTGGATGACTGAGAACCTCCACAGATATCAGTAAACTCAGCAATTGTTCGAGCGTGACTCATATTGCTGTTCATGTTCTATTTCCAGGAACATTAATATATGTTTATTACAAAGAAGACATGAGTGAGCATGTTGTGTGTGTGATGTGCTGCTAAACAAATGAATCACAAATATAATACACAGTGACATTTTGCTTCATAGATATCTGATAAACAGTATGCAGAGTAGCCAGGGAATATAATTAGCTCTTGTGCCCTTAATTAAAATTGGGTACGGACCAGTATCAGTATATCGAGCAGGTGGTCTTAAGTCATTTCTGGGTCTCAGATCATGATCTTCACTGCTATGACCTGGTTTTTCCTTCTCTTGAGTCAGAACATTATTTGGATCAACATGTTCTGTTGAGTGAATGCCTGGTTTATAAAAAGGCTTAAAACTTTTCTCCTTGCCTGTGCTAGTGGTGTTCTCACTGTCCTCATCTGACTGTGCGCCTATGATGTGATTTATGGATTTCTGCAGGCTCTGAGATATTTCCTGTACAATTTGGTTGACATCGTTTAGCTCATCATGTGCATTTGCATTCTTATTCTCAAGGTCAATCCAGTATGAGTCGGCCTTCGGTTTTCTTTTCAAAAAATCCTTAAGTTCTGCAAAACAATCAATCGCCCTTCGTCCCTCTTCACTTGCCGCTCGACGTTCTGTGCTACAATACTTTGGACGCGTTCCACGTGGTGGAGTTGTTTGTTCTAGTTTCCTTTCCTTACCTTCTTTTGCATGCTTCCCTCTGCTAGGTGTTTCATCTGATTGCTGTGACGTAGTTAATTTTAAAATTGCGATTTCAATATCTGAACCCTTTGGACCTTAGTCGAACGTGTCGCGCAAATCAAAATCTCCCGTAATTGTAACAGTTCCCAAGAGGGGATACAGGCTCTGTCTGTAAATCCTTCCTTCATTCCTGAATAAGTCCAGGATCTGAATTTCATTTTCTCTTTCCTGCTGTCTTTTCTTAGACCCATCTGATTTATAATCCTGAATTCTCAATTCCAGAAAGGTGTCATCAGATGGCCAAGGATTGCACAGTTTGCTTGTTCGTTTAGCCCATTTTTCTGACATGTGTTTTATATCTTTTGCTAAAGCAGGGTTCTTTGCCGCCAAAATTCCTGCTGGCTTGACCGACATTTTGAGATTTCAGAAACACTTATTATTCCTCTAATTAGTAAATTAGTTTATTTATAATCTCCTGAAAATAGAACAAAAATTGAAAGTTGAAACAGATACTGTTGACATATGATGGCTGTAATCTTGAGTAATTTATTGTTGTTTTGGTAACACAAATGTTCAGCAAACCATCCATATTTTGTCAGACACTTCCACGAGTAAAGCAACCACACCCAGCAGAGCTTTCACACTTACATAAAGAGTAGAAAAACACACTTTAGAGCAACATTTCATGCCAAGCACACAAACACAAAGACATTGATATTTATTTATTAATCGTAATCTATATTTTTTATGTTTCACTTTTCCCAGCTGGTAAAAATAATTATCAAGCTTGTGCACTTCAATATATATATATATATATATTACTTTAAAAACTTTTATTTTTTTAACTTAAGGTTTTCTGTTTAAAGACTAATCAGAACAGGATCAGAGAATTTGAAATTTGGGTAACCTTAAACATTAATTTTAGCACTGCAAAGAATTTTACAGATCTGAGTTACACTTTTTTTTAAAGCTTTTCTAGTATTTTAAGCTCTCTGATCTGATCTGATCTCAGCGCTCACACACACACACACACACACACACACACACACACACACACACACACACACACACACACACACACACACACACACACTCTTCTCCAGCGCCGGCAGGCACACACAGAGAACTCCCAAGATTCGGAGCCCGTTCAACAGCCTCTTTGCTGCAAACTTCAAGACGTCATCATCAGGCCTCACATTCACAGGCCTCACAGGCATTCTGCACCATTTGCAACCTGGCTATTGAGCCCTTGCTCACACCGGATAAAACAGAGTTGCAGTAGTCCAATTGCACCATAATAAAGGCATGGGCTACCGTCTCAAGTAGGGTTGTCACGGTAACCGGTATAGCGGTAAACCCCGGTAAAAAAGTTGACAATAAAAATAACCGTCCCGTTTTTAAAAAACTAAATTATCTCGGTGGGTTTACCGTGGCCGCGGTTTCGGCGCGGTGACCTTTACCAGCCACCGTCGCTTCAGCTGAAGTTCCCGCGGCGCGCACACGCACTTTTTAGTTTGCAACGGCACCAAAACTTTGAAGCTGAAATAATGGCCGAAGGAGGAGACGGCAGCGCCCAGGACATCCATCAGCCCTCAAAGAAGACTAAATTGGAAGTATGGGCAATTTTGGATTTCTGAAAAATGCTGAGGGACAGGTAATAGAAGACGGCTATCCCGTTTGCAGAACGTGCAGGAAACAAGTGTCTGCAGAAGGCAGCAACACTTCGAATCTAATGGCACATCTGCCTGACCATCACCCACGTCTCTACAGCCAGTGCAAGGTAAGTTAACATTAGCATTTTAGCTTAAACGTGAGGACGTGAGGACTTTTGGTTGAGAGAGAATGCAACGAGTCACTATATACTGCAGCCGCAGCGTCCTCTGCCAGTATTTAAACCGTGTCACGGACACCCTGTTGCTGGATGAAGCATCTTATTTGTTGATGATGAAGAGAAATATACAATTAGTTCCTTGTCATTGATTTGTTTACTTATTCAATGCCATTTATACTTGAACATTTGGATTTGATTACATAGTGTGGTAGTTATTTTAGTAATTTGTTTAAAGTGGCTATTTATTTTAAATACATATTTTTTTAAGGTTGACTTGTACAGTGCTCAAGTCAAGCGTGGACTGGAGTTTTAGATTTTCATTTTGATAATGAAGAAAACAAGTATATGAGAAAACAAGTGATGTTTCTTTGATTTGTTTACATATGTTTATGTTTTGAATGTTTGGATTTGTATAATTTAAACCTGCACTGACTACTGTAACACGTTCCAGAAAAAGAAGCTATTTGTTCCTTTACTTGTGAAAAGTTGCACTTTTGCTAAGGCTTTGTGTTATTTTAGGTTTAATAAACACTGTTAAACCTTTTCAGAACTATTTCAGTTTGTGTAGAACAGGACTATCAATGCTTTCTGAACATATGCAACACCGTTTAAAAAATACCGCGATAATACCGAAAACCGTGATAATTTTGGTCACAATAACCGTGAGGTTAAATTTTCATACCGTGACAACCCTAGTCTCAAGATCATGACGTGACAAAAATGGTTTGATCTTTGCCAACTGACAAAGGTGGAAAAGGAGGAGGAGATCAGTCCATTGATGTGGGTATCAAAACTAAGGGCGCTATCCAGTTTAACACCAAGATTAGTCACCGATGTAGTCAGCTGGCCATTAAATGACCCACAGTCAGTTAGGGAAGAGTCACAATGTATGCTTGGAGCAAACAATATAGCCTCTGTTTTCTGATCATTTAGGCTCAGAACATTTTCAGTCATCCAGGTCTTGATCTCCCTCAAACAGTTAGTAAGAATAGAAATATTTTAAAGGGCGTATGACAATCATACACCAATCTTGGGTGAGCGGGTTGTAACACATAGTCTAAAAACAACAAAAATACAAAAAGTAGAGGAGCTGACAGACGGCAAGCCGGCAACACTGGCGCCATCTTGACTGTCTTTAGTCCACACATACACACGCACACACACACACACACACACACACACACACACACACACACACACACACACACACACACACACACACACACACACACACTGGTGTGGGGTGGACTACATCTGATGGACAGACTAGACCCTCTGGAGATGCCGCTACACGCGCTGCAGCAACTGGACTTGGGGACAGCGAAGGTTTTAAACAATAATCCATGGTTAGGAGCTGCAAACGGCCTCCTCTCACTGTTCCTTTCTGTTTGGTGCTCCAAACATTTGTGCTGAACTAAAAGGCTCATTAGCTTTTCTCCACTACAACGTAGCTAAACCTTCACAATAGACAACTCCAGATGGTTTAAGCTCTTAAAGTAGTACTTAGGTGGTAATCATGTATTTGAAGAAGTCAGAATGGTCCATGTGGGCAGGAGATGCAGAGCTGCTGCACCACCTCCTCATGAGGATCCAGACAGGTCTCCTCCTACTGATGGGACTGTAGAGCTGCTGCAGACAGACAGCTGAGGGCATCAAAGCAACATTTCACCTGCAGAAGAATGGAAACGCTGGCTGTCATCTGGTTCTGCTCAGCTCTCGTAGGTACGTATGTTTCTGAGCACAAACCTGGAAAATAAAAACGTTTTCCAGAACTTCACAGATCCAGTTTGGATGGTCTCTGAGCTGAAGTTCAGAGCAGAACATCTCAGGGTGAATACCTAAATAACATCACGTTGTCTGACCAGCAGCTAAAAGCCTGGAAGCGGAGATTACTGCCAGCAGAGCTGAAGTGGTTTCATCAGAGGGATCAAAACTTCATCTGTCCTGCAACTATTCAGTCAAAGCACACAACCTCCAGTGGTACCGACAGGATCCTGGATCAGCTCCTCGCGTCCTGCTCCTCATCACTGACACCAAAGAACCCACGGTGGTAGAAGGAGAACCTCCAAACCCCCGACTGACAGCAGAACTGAACGAGGAGAGAAATCGTGTGGACTTGCTGATCTCCTCTGCTGCAGCGACAGACTCTGCTGTGTACTACTGTGCTCTGCAGCCCACAGTGACAGGAAACAGTAAAAGTGTGTAGAAAACCTGCAGAGCAAAGACAACACAATACTCCACAACATCCACTAGAGGGACTCACACAGTGAGAACCCAGATGTATTTTAGATCCAATCCCAACCAAATGATCTAAAGATGCATTTCCTTTGGTTACTGCCCCATTCTAGATAGAACCAGTATATCCTTACTAAATGGATACGTACCACAGGATTTTGAGGTTGCTGTAATCAAACCTCTACTTAAGAAACCTTTTCTGGATCCAGATGACCCAATGAGCTATAGAGCAAAATCTAACCTTCCATTTTTATCTAAAGCCCTTGAGAAAATAGTGGCCATCCAAGTATGCGAGCATCTAAACACTAATGATCTGTTTGAGGAATTTCAGTCTGGTTTTAGAGAGTATCACAGCACTGAGACTGCATTAGTGAAAGTTACAAATGATATTCTACTCAACTTTTATTTCCACAACACTTTACAGGCAATGCTCTGTCACTTAAGTTCTGTACAGACTTTTTAAAAAACAAAAGATAAGAATCAAATCAAAGTTAATTCAAGTCAATAAAAATAGGACAGCACACATTATAAATTAACCCACAGAGTTAAAAGTGAGGAAGTAAAAATTGTTCTTGAGTCTGGATTTAAAGATCGCCACAGATGGGAGCTGACTAAACCTTAAAGGAAGCTCACTCCAAAGTTTTGGACCAGCCACCAAAAATGTTCTGTCCCCCCGGTCTACAGCTGAGTCTAAAGCCTGGTGTATGCTTCTGCGTCAGCTCCACCAGGGAGAGACACGCACGGTTAGACGGAAGCGTCCTGCGTCTCCTGGGGAGTGTTGCAAAGCAATTGCCCTCCAGGACAGCAGAGGGTGCAGTGCTGTTCTGTGGTATCCTGTCATGTATGTGGCCCAAGATAGTACATTTAATCGTGTTTCTATTGTGTTTATGTATTTCAGAGACTTTTTGACATGGACAAATTTGTCCCTTATCCTCCTCCACCTCTAAACCAGCGCTGGACTGGGACAAAAAATCAGCCCGAGCATTTTAAGCTGACACCGGCCCACCAGCTTCTGATGTAAAAAGAATGATGTCTGACTTTTTACACCAGCTCTCTAACCTTGCCCCTCAGTATTCCTTATCCATCCTGTTTTAGTTGTTTCCCTGCTCCTGCACAAAAACTGGGCTTAACGCAACACAAAGCAACAAAACATCAACAGACAAAGAAAACCACTGATATCCCGCTGCTTGTTGTGAAGGAAAGAAAAAAGTAAAAAATTTAAGCAAACAATGAAATTTATCAGAAAACACACACACACAGAGGTTGTACTCACTAATGTAGGTTCTGCGTTTCTTCTACGCAGCAAACGTACTGATGAAAGGGAAGTCCAGTGTCCTCATTCTGGTCTCACACAAACATTTTCAGATGCATCTGATGGAGCACGGATAGACGAACTGAACTGGAACCGCTCCGAACTGCTCCAGTAACTGGACTTAAGCACAACGGATGTTTTAAAAATATAACACGACCACCTCTGCCTTTTATTTTCTTGTTTTGTTCTCCAATCATTGGCGCTAAACTAAAGGTTACCTTCTCTCCACTAAAAAGTTAGCTTAACTAGAAGTTGGTTAGTTGGTGATGACGTTTCTGATGAAGCGGATTGGATGAAGAGATTTCCCAGCATGCTTTGTTTTTGTAAAAGTTAAAATTAAAATAAAATAAAGGAATAAGGATAACATTTTATTGGAATCAAATGTAACACAATCATTAGGTAAATAAGAAAGGAAAATACTGATGAAAATTAAAGGGTGAGAATAGCTGCAGGTGGATGGAGAGCTGTACTACGACTGAGAGATGGAGGTGGCTGGGCTGGTAGAAATCTCAAGTAGTTGATTAAATTCAGTATAAACAATGTTGATACGAGACCGGTGGACTATATGCAATTGAGCTCATCCCATTTATCTGACAAGGTAACCAGGATAGTAAGAAAGGTGTTATGTCCATACAAGGGCGTCAGTTTGTTTTCAGAATTGCTGGGGACAATAACCATACACTTGAGTGGGGTTTAAAAATTGCTGGGGACAATATAGGCTAGCACAGGGGTCGGCGGCTCTGTAGCCACATGCGGCTCTTCCATCCATCTGATGCGGCTCTCTGTGCTCTTAAAATAATGAATGGATATTTAAATAAAAAGCTTTATATTTTACTGTATTAAATTTACATCTGTATGCTAATTCTAAATGTAAAGATTGTCTGCGTAAACCTGAACAGGACGCGTCACGCTTGTGCGTAATCATATGCACTTCCTGAGCTGGAGGATGTCAGATTCTGGGCTTCTCCTCAGACGGCTCCTGGATGCGTCGCCACACTGGAGACAGGAACAAGCACTTTTCATTCAAAGTTTCATAATCAGGGAACATTTTCTAAGTGACAAGTCTCTGAGAGACAGGGTTTGGAAAACACTCGCTTCAGTGGGAGGAACCTTCTCACATGCGCTCTGGTTCTGAGAGCCTGGATTTGTATTCTGAACAGTCTAAACATGTTTTTAAAAGAAACGTATGACAAAAGTGGCACCTGCTCAGTAAAACCACCAACAGGGTGAAAAATACCAAAATATTGTAGGCAGAGACGGGCTACAACTTCTGAATCATCTTTATATAAATCGTTTTATTGATTGTCTTCTTATGAAAGATAACTTTGACGTACACGAGTGACCAGGCGCGTTGCAAGATTTTCAAAAGTGTGGGAAATGTTGTCTGTGCCTAAAATAATTTGATGTTATTCATCTTGTTAGTTTAATTTCCATAATAGCGGAGCAGGTGCGAATTTTAGACGCGTCCCGCATGTCTCCGTTTTAAACATGTTTAAACTGTTCAGAATACAAATCCAGGCTCTGTCTCGTTAGATTGGTGTAACTAAAGTTTGTACTGAATGAAACTTTACATTAAACCATGTTGAAAAGAAAAGGATCCGATTAAATCATTTCCCCTCATTTACAGTCAGTACAGCGCAGTGCGCGTAGCTCTGGGGTTAATCAAGTTTAGTTGTTTCTCTTTGCAACAATCTTCACAAGAAGGCAAAACAGTTAAATGGCAGGTTACAGATACTTCCATTTGACTGTATTTTGATGGATAAACTCAAGGATGCTGGCTGTTTTGAAAGAATTACCCGATGCACACTGATGCGCATGGATGAGCTTGGAAAAATTTTCTTTTTATGAAATTATTAAACTTTGGCTGAACAGCGCTTTTTCCCGTCTCTAATATGGACACGCATGACGCATCCAGTCTGAGGCAGAATAGCAGCGCAGAAAGCTCCTGTAGAGACATTTGATCACGCACAAAGTTTATGTGGAGCAGAAGCGGTCGGGCCACGGCAGGTGGAATGTTCCTAGCCTACATGAAGTGAAACTGTTTAATTGTAACATTAATGTTACTGGACACGCTGGTCTGGTTGGTTAGACCAGTGTTGGAAGTGGAAAACACACACACACACACACACACACACACACACACACACACACACACACACACACACACACACACACACACACACACATTAAAATAATGCTGATAGCATGGACTAGAAGACAGGTGATGGTTTTATTTAAATGATGATCAGGCTGCTGTAAAATGTAATCTCCATCCACATCCAGACAGAATGATCCTCTATTCTATTTGCTCTGCTCTTGTCTGGGCTGACGTAGCTGATGGTGCGCGCGGCACGCCTAACGGCTGTGGTGCACATTTTACGCATTTGGAGAGGTGGGCCGGATGCTTTGCTTTCACTGGAAGATGGTCCACTTAATGCACGGGTGTAGACTACATATTAATGACAAATGAATGAAAATTAAATTGGGAGTTTTTACTTCATATTTTAGAAATAAAAATGATGGGGTAAAACATTTATGACGTATTTTAAACAAAATTTTCTAGCGGGACCTGCCTGCTTCACTTAAGTCACTGCTTATTAAGGTCCGTCCAAAATTACCGTGGCCCACCCAAAAATGAAAAACTGGCACCGCGCCAGTTATAAACCTCTGCAAATTATTGTTCTTCACTTTATCAAACTCAGACTTTGTACAGCTGATGTCAAGATGTAAAATTATGAATTCAGTCGAGCTCTTCCATCCCTCCCTCTTCTGCTCTCCTGGAAACCCGACATCGGCTGTCAGAAGCGGGAGGTGAAGAAGGAGATGAGGCAAACAGAGTGAGTGCGACATAAAGAAACCAGACTGGTGTGGAGGTGAGCAAAACAGCTGTAAAAGTGTGGGTGTTGAATCCCCCACGGGTGCGACGCCCATGCGAGCGACCGGTACCTGCTGCTGTCACCTGGTTGTGAGCAGCTCTCTGCTGTCTGAGGGTAGGCCCCGCCCACAACTCTGCGGCTACTGCGGTGTTTTCTTTACTGTGGGAAATGGGTAATAATGGCTCTTTGATGGGAACAGGTTGCCGACCCCTGGTAAAAGATCTGAGCTGGTAAAACAAAAATCCTCATCAGCAGGCTTTTTTGAATGTGGGGGGGGGGACAGCTGCCAATCACAAATTTTGCCGGGGACATGTCCCCGGTGTCCCCAGTTAAAATGACGCCTATGTGTCCATATGTGTTACCCCTCGAGATCTGTTTTTTTTTAACCCAGCTGCAAGTGGAAACGACCGAATCACAAAAAATAACCCTCACCCTAACCATAACCATCCTGTCACCAACAATGTATGTTGTTTTTTTTTCTCGCTCTCTTCCGGCACTCACAGGGAACAGTCGCTTCTGCCTTTTGCTCCCTTATCTGTATTTTCCCAAGGCTCTTGTTGTCCCGTCTGCCTACAGAGCGCTTCTCTGCATTTCCTCTGCAATCACTATTTCTCAGCATGGATTTAATTAAATGGTCATTCAACACGATTGATAAGATTTTTTCTACAATGAGGATGGAGGAGGGGGCTCGCGCTTGCCCTCACGGGACACACGCAGCAGGATATATGTTCGATTCCTGGAAGAAGTGGAATATCATCTGTCTCTCTCAGCTGTCCATTGAGGATGTCGAAGATATGTGGATATTTGGCCTGATGATCACTGGATTTCTTCTGATTGGAGTGGGAGGATATCTGGCTTTACGTAAAATTGGGATGACGGGAGCGATTGGAGGGCGACCCGCAACCATGGACGGCACCGTCCGTGTGGATACCTCACAGACTGGGACGTTGCTCGAGGTGAATCGCAAGCTGGACAATGTCTTAGCTGCGTTACCGGTGTTAGCGCGCAAGATTGATATCATCTCGGAAAGGGTCACCGGACGTTGTGGAGATGTTTAATCACTGAATTGGCTTCACTGGAGGACTTGAATGATCAATACAGACTTAAGGCAGAGAGGAAAAATTATCTCTGCCTGACCCAAACAAAGTTCTGTTATCGAATCTGACGCCATAAGCAGCCTTGGAGTTGCATGCAATAACCCCCATGATGGAAGGAATGCAGACAAATGCTGTGAAACTCTATTCACCCACGCCCCGCCTTCAGATTGTGGTCTCTAGCGAGGTCATTACGTTGAAGGAACTCTCTGCTCTCTGTGCTTCCCCATGACCTCCCTCCCACCTGCGGAGCCAGCTGGTTGAGCGCCACACAGGCAGCCCCCGCTGAGGAAACCAGGATCCCAGCCCTCCCCCCTACCTACCGGGTCTCATGTTGTGAACTGTGAGGTTCGTGCTTACATGTCGGGTGTTTTTTTTTTTTGCATTAGAGTGCTACACCCTGCTGGTGTAACCCTGTTAATGCCTTTTTTCTCCCTCCCCTGAACTTTCCTCATGTATTCCCTCATTCATCTACAAAAGGAGCGCCGTCATGGCTGCTCCCATGGTCTGCCTGTATCTGTCCTGTCTATATGTGTGTGTGTAACCTTGGTCAGGTTGTACTATGGAGTCAAGTTCCTATGCTCTGATCTGGAGCGCTGGCAATAAAATTAATTCTGATTCTGATTCTGATTCTGATTTGCGTAAATGTAATATTTGAAACTATTATGCGTAGCACAATTTTTATGTTTGTTCCAGGTTTATGGTTAGGGTTGGGGTAAGGGTTAGGACACAAATCCATCCACAAACAAAACGCTTGCTGCATTACTTCTCTAGTCACGGGTGAATAAACGTTCATATTTTTTATAGTTTTTCCGCAAGGTATTTGATAGGTTTTTTCTGTATTTTATGTACCTTTTTGAGAAGAACGTTGAAGGACATGATAGGTATTTGTTTCAACGAAAGGTCATCGATCTTCTTTGATCACATTTTAGAGTGGTGAAGAATGGCCTCTGATCACCCAACTTCCTGAGACAAGATGAAGGTCCAACAATATGTGTTGATTAAGCTGATTCTGAAGAATGTTGATTAAGTCACCGGTCAGCTGAAGAATTGTGTGTGTATTTTGTCTGTGTGTAATTCCTCTGTAAATGATTCCCCTGTAAGCCTGCTGTGCTGTTATCTCTGGAATATGATTTCCTAGGAGATGAGTCTGTAACTATGAAACTCGAGAAAGGCCCGCCCTCCATCCCATTGTTCAATAAAAACCTCTGTTGAGCTGGGGGGGGGACGGACGATGGAAACAGCTCCAGAGGGAGTTGTGCATCGCCTTCTCTCCGCTGTTTGGTGAGACAGTGTAAAATGAACTCCTCTTTGTATTTGGTGTGTTTATTTCAGGTAAAGGGTTATGGAAAATACAAATTACCCAACAGTATTCTTCAACCTGCTCCATGTCTGGAGCTAGATATCTTTGTTTTTGAGGGTGCAATAGTGGTGCTGTTGACGATAGCCGCGTCCTGGCCAATCACAAGCTAGCGTTCTCCGTCTCATTCGACGGATGTTTACAAAAGAGAGCTCAACTCTGTCCATCCTTGCGAGCCTGCTGGAGAGCTTTCTTTCCTAAACATCCACCGAATGAGACGGAGAACGCTAGCTGCATGTCTCTGTACCGACGCAGATGCATAAACGAGGCTTTAGGGACCGAGAGCTGTGCCCTGTTTTCTGAATGCAGTCTATGGGGGAGCATATGGACACAGCATGTTACCAAATCCCCTCCAAAAATCTCAAGCTGCAGACAAGCAACAGCAGTCTGACTCACCCCAACTAGGAGGGACGAACAGCAATGGGCTCAACACACGGGAGGCGACATCGCCTCTCCTCCATTCATTTTCAATGAGACATGCACAACAACGTGATAATCGCAGGTCTCCCTCCTACTAAGCGAAATGCAAAAAATGTGCGTGTGAAATTTTGCGCTCGTGCACGTGTTGTGCACAGGCGATCTAGCAATGCAATCCCAGAAAGTTGAAATATTTTCAACTTTTCATCGTTGTCCCTCGGAGGAGGACCAATTAACGGAGGTTTCATTCACTGACCAATGAGCGGACCGGATGCTCCGTACATTTCTGAGCAAACATGGAGGAGAAGTTGATTATTAATATGTTTTATATTGTAAAATCACAAGTAAGATTTCACATAACTCTAGCAGCACCTTGTGAAACATCATATCTACAGCTTTTTTTAACACTGAAGCGCTTAAAGAACCTTAAATCCCTCCAACCTTACACAGCCAATCAAAACAACAGAAGTTTTGATTTCATGATGGAACAGAACGCTTCGACGGCTTTGCCGCTTGCTGCTGATGCGGGTCACCTCCCGTGTGTCACTTAATAAAAGCGACAGTGACGAATTTCAGTGTCCTCATTCTGCTCATTATGTCGAGCCCATAATCAGGTGTGATGTTATAAATGCATGCACCACGATTTCAAGATCATGCCCAGACAGAATTAGCTAGACTTTAGACAATTGATAAAAGGAGGATGAAACAATGACATTGACATGGCCATTGAAGCTAGGAGCACTCTCAATTTTTACACCTTAATTTACAAATGAGTCCTGCAGGTGCCACAGTCAACGCAGAGCCATCAGTATGGTAATTTGGACCAAACATCTTATGTTCATTTATGAACAGGAAGCTTTCGGACATCCAAGCCTCATCTGCAGCCAGTCAGCTTTGTAACTGGGCAGCCACCAGACACAATCACATGAAAACACAGCTGGCAGTCATCAGCATATAGGTGAAATGCAATCCCATGCTGCCCTAAAATGTTGCCTAAAGCCCAGATTACACTGCATTTTCGGCCGTCGCACAGGATTGTTCATGTCACTCTGTGAGAATTGCAGAAAGGTGGCCCACGGTACGACACTAGATTTCAGTGAGGCAGACTGCACAATGTCTCGCTTCAGCAGGACACGCTACATCATGAGCGCACCTCCCAAAAGCATACGTCACTAAGCAGACTGCTAGCCAAAAATGTGTGGATGACTGACAGTGTTGTGAAGCTCCTTGGAGTGTTGAACCCCAACCCTAAACAAATACAGGCCATTTACCTTTTAAGCCACTTCAGAGCCCAAGCAGAAATTCTAACACAGTAACAGTTTGTAATCTACTGCAGCAGAAAGGTCTAATAAAACGTGCCTGTTGTTATCTGTTGCTAAACCAACGTCTGCCCTGGGACACTAACAGAGACGAGGCTGCCATCCATAGAAGACATTGACGGAAGGGAAAAAAACATATTTACATTTATTTTGACTTTTACTCAAAGACAAATGTCAAATGCCCCCCCCCCCCCCCCCCCCATGCAAAAACAAAAATCTGCTGCTTTGCACACCTCTATTCTACAGTGTATCATTCATCCATTCCCATATATATATTCCCACCATGGTGGTGATGAGCTACATTTTAGCCACAGCTGGCCTGGGCTCACTGACAGAGGTGAGGCTTCAGGGCACTGACCCCACCGGTACCGTCGACCACCACAAGCAGGCAAGAATGGTGAAGTGTCTTGCTCAAGGACACAACAGCAGAATTGTCTGTCAGGAGCTGGGATTGATCCAGCAACCCTCCATTGTCTGGGTAACCTGATAAATATCCTGAGCTACTGCTGCCTCTGTGGGTGGAGCTCTGAAAAGATGGGGTGTCAGGACCCCTTGTAAGGGTGAGTTGGTCCCTGAGTGGCCAAAGCAAGACAATAATTTAAAAGAGAAACTAAAGAAATGAAAATGCAAGAAACTACACCAGGTCACATAAACAATAAGACATCTCCTAAACAAAAGAGTCAGTCACCTAAAACGCAAAGGTACCAAAGTTGGAGCCCTGAGGAACACCACAGGTCAAAGTGAGTGTTACCCAGGATCCCTGTGTTTCCAACCGAGAAAAGGAGATTCTTTACACTCCTGTTCTGAAACAAGAACAAACCTCCTCACCTCACAAAGATTTATAATGACGCTGATAGCTGAACCAGGAAGAAGGGGAGCTGAGAGAAGTGAAACTACAGATGAAGGAGGAGACGGAGAGATTCAGGGAGGAGCTGAGCTGTTACTGAACTATAGAACAGACACAAACTTCCACATTCAACACAGTTCAACATACAAACCACAAACATTCACTCTGTTCAACATGGACTGTTGTGGGCTTTTTCTGCTGGTTGTCACTATTCTAACAGGTCAGTTTGAATCTACAGCTTTGGAATGTGTTCAGTCTAAAGTTAGATGAGTTTGACTCACTCTGAAGAGTTGGTTTTCTAAAAGTTCCAAACTTATTTCTCTTCTTTTAGGAGTCAGCTGTGAACAGCTGACTGCAGTGAAGAATGAAGAGTCCAGTTTAGAAGGAGCCACTGTTACTCTGTCCTACAATTACTCTAGAGATGCTGCTATTGGTGATTATTTCTTCTGGTACCGGCAACATCCAGGAGAACCTCCAGAGTTCCTGATCTCTCACACAGGAACAGAAACACTTCTATCACAGAAAGTGTCTGGACTGAGTTTTACTGTGAGTGATGATAAAAGACGCGTGGACCTGCTGATCTCCTCTGCTGCAGCGACAGACTCTGCTGTGTACTACTGTGCTGTGAAGCCCACAGTGACAGGAAACAGTAAAATTGTGTAGAAAACCTGCAGAGCAAAGACAACACAATACTCCACAACATCCACTAGAGGGACTCACACAGTGGGAACTCACTGGTTGTTGAGTTGTTGGACTGATGACAAAGACAACAGACACACGAAGCAGCAGAAACAAGGTGAAGTTGCAGTAAAGCTGGTGGAATTTAAGTGATTCAACATCTTTAAATTCAGTTTTATCCAAACTCAGAAGCAGGAAATGATCTTATAACCAGCCTCTAACAGTGGATAGGCATTTTTCTAGTTTAATCAAGTTATAAGAACTACCCAGAGAGAGAGGGACAGGCAGCGGAATAACAATAAAAGTTACATCAGATGGACATCGGAGGCCACCCAGAGGCAGCAGATAGATTGAGAACAGCAATGGGCCCAGTACAGAACCTTGAGGGACTCCATGCTTCAGCAAAAAGGTCTCAGACATGTCCTTCTGAATCTGACATCATGTGATCACCCAGACAGCTCTGATTTCAGCCATGAGTGTGTATCCTGTTACTCCCATATAACGTTCAGTATACCTTCAGCTACACTCGACTATGTCCTCCGTGTGGCCCTGTGGTGGTGGTGGTGTGTGTGTATGTGTGAGTGTGTGCGTATGTTTGTGTGTGTGTGTGTGTGTGTGTGTGCGCGCGTGTGTGTGTGTGTGCGTGGGGGGGGGGGGGGGGGGGGGGGGTACCCCGGGAGTTTGGAGAATCAGACCCTCTGATACAGGCTGTTATGTCCCTGTATGACGGGTGCCAGAGCTTGTCCTCTGGTCCTGCCTCAAGTGGAGGAGTTTAAGCATCTCAGGGTCTTGTTCACAAGTGAGGGAAAGATGGAGCACGAGACCGATATGTGGAGTGGTGCTGCGTCTGCAGTAGGGTTGTCACGGTGTGAAAATTTAACCTCACAGGCCATTTACCTTTTAAACCATTTCAGAGCCCAAGCAGAAATTCTAACACAGTAACAGTTTGTAATCTACTGCAGTAGAAAGGTCTAATAAAACGTGCCTGTTGTTATCTGTTGCTAAACCAACGTCTGCCCTGGGACACTGACAGAGACGAGGCTGCCATCCACAGAAGACATTAACGGAAGGGAAAAAACATATTTACATTTATTTTGACTATTACTCAAAGCCAAATGTTAGATGCCCCCCCCCCCCCCCCCCCCCCCCCCCATGCAAAAACAAAAATCTGCTGCTTTGCACGCCTCTATTCTACAGTGTATCATTCATCAATTCCCATATACACATTCACACCATGATGGTGATGAGCTACATTGTAGCCACAGCTGGCCTGGGCTCACTGACAGAAGTGAGGCTTCAGGGCACTGACCCCACCGGTACTGCCGACCACCACAAGCAGGCAAGAATGGTGAAGTGTCTTGCTAAAGGACACAACAGCAGAATTTTCTGCCAGGAGCTGGGATTGATCCAGCAACCCTCCATTGTCTGGGTAACCTGATAAATATCCTGAGCTACTGCTGCCTCTGTGGGTGGAGCTCTGAAAAGATGGGGTGTCAGGACCCCTTGTAAGGGTGAGTTGGTCCCTGAGTGACCAAAGCAAGACAATAATTTAAAAGAGAAACTAAAAAAATGAAAATGCACGAAACTACACCAGGTCACATAAACAATAAGACATCTCCTGAACAAAAGAGTCAGTCACCTAAAACGCAAAGGTACCAAAGTTGGAGCCCTGAGGAACACCACAGGTCAAAGTGAGTGTTACCCAGGATCCCTGTGTTTCCAACAGAGAAAAGGAGATTCTTTAGACTCCTGTTCTGAAACAAGAACAAACCCCCTCACTTCACAAAGATTTATAATGACGCTGATAGCTGAACCAGGAGGAAGGGGAGCTGAGAGAAGAGAAACAACAGATGAAGGAGGAGACGGAGAGATTCAGGGAGGAGCTGAGCTGTTACTGAACTATAGAACAGACGCAAACTTCCACATTCAACACAGTTCAACATACAAACAACAAACATTCACTCTGTTCAACATGGACTGTTGTGGGCTTTCTCTGCTGGTTGTCACTATTCTAACAGGTCAGTTTGAATCTACAGCTTTGGAATATGTTCAGTCTAAAGTTAGATGAGTTTGACTCACTCTGAAGAGTTGGTTTTCTAAAAGTTCCAAACTTATTTCTCTTCTTTTAGGAGTCAGCTGTGAACAGCTGACTGCAGTGAAGAATGAAGAGTCCAGTTTAGAAGGAGCCCATGTTACTCTGTCCTACAATTACTCTAGAGATGCTGCTATTGGTGATTATTTCTTCTGGTACCGGCAAGATCCAGGAGAACCTCCAGAGTTCCTGATCTCTCACACAGGAACAGAAACACTTCTATTACAGAAAGTGTCTGGACTGAGTTTTACTGTGAGTGATGATAAAAGACGCGTGGACCTGCTGATCTCCTCTGCTGCAGCGACAGACTCTGCTGTGTACTACTGTGCTGTGAGGCCCACAGTGACAGGAAACAGTAAAAGTGTGTAGAAAACCTGCAGAGCAAAGACAACACAATACTCCACAACATCCACTAGAGGGACTCACACAGTGGGAACCCACTGGTTGTTGAGTCGTTGGACTGATGACAAAGACAACAGACACATGAAGCAGCAGAAACAAGGTGAAGTTGCAGTAAAGCTGGTGGAGTTTAAGTGGTTCAGCAACTATAAATTCTGATTTCAGCCATAAGTGTGTATCCCGTTACTCCCATATAACGTTCAGTATAGCTTCAGCTACACTTGACTGCATCCCCCAGGTGGCCCTGTAATGGGGGGTGGGGGTGGGGGGTATTCCGGGAGAACGGAGTATTAGACCATCTGATACAGGCTGTTACGTCCCTGTATGACGGGTGCCAGAGCTTGTCCTCTGGTCCTGCCTCAAGTGAAGGAGTTTAAGCATCTCAGGGTCTTGTTCACAAGTGAGGGAAAGATGGAGTGCGAGACTGATATGTGGATTGGTGCTGCGTCTGCAGTAGGGTTGTCACAGTGTGAAAATTTAATCTCACGGTTAATGTGACGAAAATTATCACGGTTTTTGGTATTATCGCTGTGTTTTTTAAAACGTGTTACATTTTCTGACAACTAAATAAACCCTGTATATCAGGAAAATATTGTCCTGTTAGTGTCTAAATGTTGCCTAAAATTTGTTATTTGGTAATTATGTTGTTTGTTTACATTTTCCCCTTTAGTATATAAATACCAATATTTGCACATAACTTCTTATTTTTTGTCTGTTTGATGTCATCATTTTAAAAATATTAGATCAGATCATACTCAGTACTTAAGTAGCCTTCTAATCAGATACTTTTTTACCCTTACTTGAGTAATAAACCCTATATCAGGAAAATATTGTCCTCGCTTTGTGTCCTTCCAGTGAGCTTTGCAGATTTCGGAACAATGTCATCAGGCAGTAATCATTGTTAAATTTGTTATTATTCTCGGAGAGAGACCAACTCTTATCTGCCCCTGGGAGCCCCGTAATGGGTAGCGTCATTTCAGTATGGGGGTGTCCGCGACTGGGTTTATATGCAGGTAGCGGGCGCTGCGAGTAGCCCCTGACTGCAGTACGCAGATCGGGGTGGGGTGCAATGTGGGTGGAGTCAAACGTTTGATCCACCCACCGTGCGGGCGCCATGTTGAAAAAAACCCATGTAGGGGTCGGCCGCCATTTTAGATAGGTCTGCTTCGCCCCCAGTGCACTCATTTCTACAGAGGAACGTGCTAACTAAAAATCACATTTTATAAAGCTTTTTCTTTTTTTTTTTTTTATTTTATTTTTTTTTTTTACGTGTCCTGTCTGGCTGTGAAGCAAGCAGAATTGATGTCTGAATGCTGGTAACAAGCCTTACAGTTTTACTCTCAGGTGGAGCATCAGAGCATCTGCTTTTAATGTCTCAGGTGGAGCATCAAAGAGTCTGCTTTTAATGTCGCACCTGATATTTAAAACTTTATTGTTATTGTTTTTGAATGCTTTGTAATTTCGACCAGACACGGAGACAGAGGTGAAAGAGAAAGGAAAAGAGAAAAGGTGGGGAGAGAGGGGGTTAGGTGGGGGGGGGATTCAACAAAAATAAACAATAATGAACAAGAGTCTGCTTCTAGACCTGCAAAATGAGACGAGAAAAAAGCAAAACATAACAAAAAAATGGGACACAACACCAATATAACAAAATCAAGCTATCACTGCGTCAACTTGATGAAGAAATATATAATCAATCATTGTTTAACTAAACAGTCACACGATAATATACCACAGTGCATTGAGTGCCCACCATAGTCTTAAGACATGTGTTGAACGTGCCCAAGCCCATACTTATGAGAGCACCATGTGAGCACCTGTGTGTGTACACGCGCTTGTTTATGTAAGGTTTATCTATAGGAGCGTCCAATAGAGAGTGTGAGGGACCACAGATCTGCCCCCCAAAGACGCGTAGGAGACGGGGGGGAGCTCCAAGTCCCAGAGATCCAGGCGCTGCCCCAGAACACAGGAACCCCAAGGAGCCCGCAACCAGAAAGGCCCCCGCCCCCCTCGAGAGGCACAGAGGATCGCCCCGGGGGGCCACAACCAGCAGCCGGCAGAGCCCCGGGAGATATCAGCGGCAAGTCCTCAGGCCTGCCCGCAGCCTCCCACCCCCTAGCCGGCCGAGTCCGGGGCCCAGCGACCCGGGACCCAGGGGCGACCACCCCCGCCGGGGACCCAGCAGAGCCCAGGGACCCAGACCCCCCCAGGCCGCCACCGGGATTGATCAGGCAGATGCCAAAAATCTTAAACTCCCTGACCCGGGAGCCACGAACACTCAGGCAGACCAAGGCATCACACCCACACCAGGTGTGACAGGGGGGAGGGGAGACGAAGATCTATATCATCAAAGGAGGTCCCAGGAGAAGGGAGGAGTATAAAGCTTTTTCATAAAATCAGATTTGGTACGGCATGATAATTAAAATATAAATATAATTAAACTAAATAAAATAAATTCAAACATCTATCGGTTAGAATTTAAGTTAGGTGCAACATGGGCGGAGTTAAACATTTGACCCCGCTCACTGAAACCATAGACTGAAACCGCTGAGGAGGGTGTGTGTGACTGTGACAGAGAGAGAAGTGGCACGCAGAATGGAGGTAGGTATGGATTTTCTTTCAGTTTTAACGATACTAAGGATTAATGTGGCGAAAATGTTATTAACCTGGACTTAAAAAGTCTTTTTCTGAGTTTTAGATTAATGTAATGGTATTATCTTTACTTAAAAAGTATTTTTCTCAGTTGTACATTATTAAGATTGACTTCAAAAGTATCTGGCACGACGTACTGTTGATAAGAAATATAGCTTTGGGGAAAAATGTTATGTGATCACTTTTGGGGGGAAATGGGCTAGGCTTTCAGAATCTGTCTGTGAAGCCTCAGGTATTGTTCAAACCAGTATTATTACACACAACCCACAAGGTTGTAGAAATGGGATGTGACAAAGTGGGTTTTGCGGTCATTACTCCATTTACATTAAATCAGTTTGCTTAAAATAAGCTAGTGATTTTTTTTTACATTTTGTATTGTTAATATGCCTTTAAGAAGAACAATCTGTGTCCTTTCTAGCGGAGGCTGAGAACAGGCCAGAACGGGGAACAGGGAACAGAGTATGTTACCTGCTGCTGGGCTTTTCTAATTTCACTGTTTCTGCCTTCTCCGACTTGTATTTTAATATTTGTTGTGTTTACTTTTGATAAGGAGAATTCTCTGCTGAAGGACACTTTTGAGGCAGCAAGGTGGTGTGGCACCAGATCCTTCAAAGGAAAACTTTCCCTTCCCCAGGTCATCAACAAAGACACTTCCTTGAGGGCAGTACAGATGTTACACATGTGTGATGCTCTTGTAGCGTCCAGCAATGGTCAGTTTAGGCACTGTCTGACCTTTCACCATCTATTCAACATCTGGTCAGAAAGGAGACACAACATTGCATGTGTTCCTTTTAAAATGAGTCTGCCTTCACACCAGCTGGGATTCAGACTCTGCTAGTCTGAAAGATAAACAATAACTTTCTTTCCCCAAGGTCCATCTGTCTGCCTCCAGAAGAAAGAAGATCCTGCTCGAATCAGTTGCTAAATTCAAGAGTGATTTAATAACTTCTTTTAAGACTTATAATCTAGATAATCATTAAATAATGTTTGTTTATTGCTGCTTATAATAATTATAGTGTAATGGAATGCTTCATTAATCTGTGCACACTGATTGGATGTCAAGAAGGCGTGTTTCTGAGTTGTCTTCGTAACATGTCTCAAACTTGTCAGCCTTACCATTCTTACCATTGTTTTAATACTGTTTTATTAACAAGAATGTATATATATATATATATATATATATATATATATATATATAATATTACATAGCCTTAGTATTTGGTGGTATTTACATAAACACATTTTAGCACCAGACCTGATCATGATATAAATAATAATCAATGGTGCCTCATACAAACGTTTTTTTTATTTATTTAAAAGCTTAGGTGTAACATATCAGAGTCAGAACTGTTCTTATTGTCAATAGCAGCAAAGGTCAGTTTACAGCACGAGGAACTTGTCTTGGTGTCAAGTGCAATAATAAATAATGGTACCAAAATATTTAAAAGACATACTATAAATACCATACAAAAGAGTAGAATAAAGAATAATAAGATTATCTGAACAGATTTGAATCAAAAAATGGCACCTATTACATTTAACTTAATCATCTGTGCTTTCTATATATTATATTGTAATCCACCAAGTACGTTTTTTGATTATCATTGTTATGCTGACATCATAGACATGAATTCATAGACGATTGGGCGCAGGAGAGCATCACCGCCATATCGGATGGGTCTCCTCACTCTCTAAAGTCAATGCAGAATGAGCAACTGATAGAATTAGACATTTTAATTCATTTAGTTTAATTATATTTATATTTTAATTATCATGCCATATAGGGCTGCAGTTATCAAATATTTTTGTAATCGAGTACTCTATCGGATCTTTTATCGATTAATTGAGTACTCTAATAAATTACCCTTTTGTGTTTGTAAACCATTGTATCAAATTGCATGTTATAAAATATGAAAGACCTCATAAAATGAGCACGCAATTTCCAGTTATTCCTCAAGTTTTATTCAAAATTAGTTTTCAAAACTTCAGCACTTCAACTTTACTTCACAGTAAACAAATGCGAGCGGTTGCGGCCCAAACAGCACCAGAACCGCTCACGGCGCATGCGCTAACATGGCTCGCCAGCTATTTCCCGATTAACACACGTCCATTTTGATTTCTACACTTTTTCTTCTCACACAATAACAAGGATTGTCGAGAAAGCATGTTTGCCGTGGTTATGTCAAATTATACTGATAACAAAACATTTATTTCCTTTCTTTTGTTTTCCTCCGCCACTCTCATAAATACCTGTGTCCTGCAGCAATCCCGAGGGACAACGGACATCAATAACAACACAGTCAAAAGTCCTACGTGTGGTGTAAAAACTGCTATTTTTAGCACATTTTAAGTCCGACGTGTTGCTACCAGACGCACAGTGTGAGCTGAAACTGAGTGCTACAAAAGAAAAAGTCGCACAGTGTCCGCAGAATATATAGAAATACAGGCTAAAATGCATTATCTTGTAGAGGCTCCGAGTCCGCTTGCAGAAGTGACATTTACACGTGGATGTCAGGTGCTTCAGCATCGAGGATGTGGTGTTGTGGTAGGCTAAATCCATTTTACAGTATTTACACTGGACTACGTTTTCCACCTTATTCCCACACCTTTGACATTTCCTGTCTTTTTCGCACTCCATCGGGGTCCACGTTGTCCGCCATGGCTTAGGAGAGTTACATTCGCTACTCGCGTGTGCATCCAGTGCAGAGTGTATGTACGTCACTTATTTCGGTCCGGGTGAAACATGACCCCGGGCGATTGCAAAGCCATGAATTAATTAAACATGAATTAAACGAAGCCTCGAGGCAGAGAATTTGACTCGAGGATTTTTTGAACTCGAATTATTCAAGGTGCTCGAGGAATTGTTTCAGCCCTAAAGTCATGCCATATCTGATTTTGTGATAAAAATTGATCAAATGTGTTTTTTAGTTGTGTAAGCATGCTCCTCTGTAGAAATAAATGAACTGGGGGCGAAGGAGACCTATCTAAAATGGTGGCTGGCCTCTACATGGGTTTTTCAACATGGCGCCCGCACAATGGGCGGAGTCAACGTTGTGCCACTCTGATCTGCGTACTGCAATCGGATATTTGGGCGCTGCAGCTGCTTTATATAGCGACTCGTTGCATTCTCCCTCAACCCAAATCCTCGGATCACGCATTTTAGCTAAAACGCTAACGTTAGCTTGCCTTGTGTTGACTGTAGAGTTGTGGGTGATGGTCACGCAGATGTGTCATGAGATTTGAAGCGTTGCTGCCTTTCACAGACACTTTTTCTGCATGTGCTGCAAACAGGTTAGCATCTTTTATCAGCTGTCCCTCAGCATTCTTCAAATATCCCAAAAAATGCCCGTACTCCCGATTTTGTTTTCTTTGAGGGATAATAAATGTTCTGAGCGCTGCCGTCTCCTCCTTTGGTCATTATTTCAGCTTTAGCTTCAAGAAAGTTTTGGCTGTAAACGACAAAGTGCGCATGTGCCGCCGGCAACTTCAGCAGGTGATAGGGTGGCTGGTAAGGGTCAGTGCGCCTACACCACAACTACGGTAATCCACTGAGATACTATATTTTTTTAAAAATAAGACGGTTATTATTTTGAACTTTTTTACCAGGGTTTACCGCTACACCGGTTACCATAACAACCCTAGTCTGCAGTGATGCAGGCGTTGTGCCGGTCGTCGTGGTGAAGAGAGAGCTGAGGGCTCGGAATAGATCCGCTGCTCCTCCACACTGAGAAGAGCCAGTTGAGGTGGCTCAGACATCTGAGTAGGATGCCTCCTGGACGCCTCCCTGGTGAAGTTTTCCGGGCACGGCCAACCAGGAGAAGACCTAAAAGAAGACCAGGGCACGCTGGAGGGACTATGTCTCTCAGTTGGCCAGGTAATTGCTTGGGATTCCCTCGGAGGAGCTGGCCTAAGTAGCTGAGGAGAGGGAAGTCTGGGCCTCTCTGCTTAGGCTGCTGCCCCCGTGACCCGACTCCGACTTCATCTTCAGGTGATAAGTTTGCAGAACAATCCAAAGATTCTGATGGTTCTGTACATGTTTTCATTTAGCTCTGGACATTGACATTGACATTGATGGACGTTGAGTTGAGTTGAGGATTAAGTCCTGGTCAGGTTTCACCATCGACTCGTTCCTCAGGCAGAAAACATTTACGTGGCTTTTCCTCTGGCTCCTCCCACCATTGTAGAACTCAGCCAATCAGACAGTTTGTGTGTGCAGAACTAAAGCATCCTGATGCTGAGGAGAAGGGCTGTGCAGCTCAGAAGCTGCTTAGCTTCATTCTGCTGCAGTGCTGTGTGACTTTAACAAGTGAAACATGTTACTTTACCTCTTTCTGCTTTTCTCTCACTGCATTGGTGAGTGCCAGAACACAGAAAGACCTGACTGGGAGCAGACCTGCTCTGGTTTTCTAAATCATTCTGACTGATCACATGTGAACCCTGAAGTGAAGAACTTCTGTTGAGTCTCTTGATGTCTGAATCTCCTGCAGACTAACTGACATGAAGGTGTCTTTTTGCAGCCATGGGCTCCACCAACAAGATCATCCAGGAACAGAGTGGAGTTGTTGCAGAGGGAACAGGCATCAGCTTGAGCTGTGAGTACGACGGTTCTATCTACAGTATCCAGTGGTACAGACACCAGCAGAAATCCAGACCAGAGTTCCTGCTCTACATCACAGAGGGAGGATCCATTCATCCAATTCGGTCTGATTTCTCAGCTCGTATAAACAAAACACAGAAACGTGTGGACCTGCTGATCTCCTCTGCTGCAGCGACAGACTCTGCTGTGTACTACTGTGCTCTGCAGCCCACAGTGACAGGAAACAGTAAAAGTGTGTAGAAAACCTGCAGAGCGAAGACAACACAATACTCCACAACATCCACTAGAGGGACTCACACACTGCGAACCCACTGGTTGTTGAGACGGTGGACTGATGACAAAGTCAACAGACACATGAAGCAGCAGACATCAGAGACACAGCTGCTGCAGAAGCACAAAAGCATCTGATTGGTTGAGTTCAAGTCCAAACATTATATCAGGAGTTGATTTGCCCCGCCCACTAAAGTTCAGCTCTATGACATCATGTGTTCCTCCTTCTACTGCAGAGGAAGAACATTATTGGTCTGCTGTGTGTCTGGCTGGAACAGTTCCAAAAATGCTTCTTTCCCTCTTTTTGCTTCTGTCTCACATTCTAGGTGAGTTTTAGAACAGAGGAACCCTGGACAGGAGACACTGTCCACTGTCTTCTCCTCTCAGCCTCATGGACAAAATTGGTCTGATGGCTTCGTTTTCTCCTCTTTGTCCAGGACTAATAGCTGGAGACACTGTCTCTCCTGCTGAAGGTCAAGGAACAGGAACTGAAGGACAATCCGTCTCACTCACACATCATTATGAGACAACTGTTGATTATGTTTCCCTTCACTGGTTCAGACAACCATCTGACCTTCAGGCTCCTCACTTACTACTCTGGAAAGGAGCCAGAGGTTCTACATCTGAATATATTCCTGATGCAGGATTTGGTTCCCAAACAACGTCTTCATCAACAATCCTGACAATCAAAAGTGTGACCCTAGCAGATACGGCTCTATGCTACTGTGCTCTAGAAACACGGTGATACAAAGTGTAGAACAGGCTGTACAAAAACCTGAACACAGATATCCGACTCCTCTTCAAAGAGGAGGGAAGTGGGATTCAGACCACAGCTTCTTATCAGATGAGTCACTGTGGTTACTGCTGCCGATGAGACTCACATGAGCAGTTGGTTCACTGTCGAATAACACATGATGCTAAAAAGCAGAAAGAAACAAATAAATCCTGGCAACAGTAAAACAACATTATAGGCAAGGCAGCTTTATTTGTTTAGCACCTTACAACAGTTTAAATCCGGCCAAAGTGCTTCACAGAAATAAAACATTAAAACAATACACAACATAAACATGCATAAAGACTAAAGTTTAAGAAGCAACACTAAAAAGACTCGTGCTGAGTTCAAAGCCACATCATAAAAACAGGTTTTCAAAAGAGATCTAAAACCAGACAGAGAAGAGGCGACCTAACGCTCAAAAGCAGCTCATCCCAGAGCCTAGAGGCCGCTACAGAGAAGCCCCGTCACCTCTGAGCTCACGTCTGGGTTTTGGGGCTTCCAGGAGCATCCTATCAGCCGAGCTCAGAGACCCTGAGCCCTAACCCTAACCAGCAGTTCAGAGAGGTCATCTGGAGCAAGGCCATGCACACATTTAAAAGCCCATAAAAGCACCTTGTGCTGGATTCTATGGAGATGCATTAGATGTGAGTTTACCTATGCTCTTTGTGTTCTCTCTCCCTTTTCTTACAGTGTTTAAATCATTTTTGTTTTGACTTTTTTCTCATTTTAAACATATTTTTAATCATTTTTAAAATCCATCCATTTTCTTTCACTTATCTGGAGTCGGGTCGCGGGGGCAGCAGCCTAAGTCGAGAGGCCCAGACTTCCTTCTCCCCAGCCACTTGGGCCAGCTCCTCCAGGGGAATCCCAAGGCGTTCATTTTTTAAAATCTTTTTTATATTTGACATTTTTTGTTCTCGTAAGCGCCTCATGATGTTTATCTTGAGAGGCGCCATATAAAAGACAGTTTCCTTTCTTGTAAGTATCTAAACATCATTTTTAAATATTGTTATGATCCAGAAAGGGCTATTGTGAAAGCTGCTGTAACCTAAAGGTACTGTTCCTGTAAGAGAAGCGTTACTGCTGGAGATGCAGGGAGATGTGGGTTTACCTCAGCTGTTTATTGAATTTCCATGAATCCACAACCCTAACCCGTGTAAACTCATAGTGCAACACTCAGCTCCACCAGTAGGCGGCACTAACACAGACCTGACATAGATATCCTGTTTCAAACATTATAATCATCTAAAATTAGAACAAATCAACACATATTGCTGCAGCAGCTACAGCTATGGTTTCAGCTCTGTCTCTATACATCAACAGTGAGTTTTTGTGATTATTATTCATGAACATGGAAGCAAATATTCATTCATCCATCTTGGAAATCCCCTTCCATCTACTGCATTCCACTGTGGAGACCATGGACAGCTCCTTCAGAGGCAGACTGAGACATCCCAGATGTAACATGTAGCTCATTCATCCCCTCTGCAGTAAAAGTGTAGAACTCCTCCATTTAACTGGAACTGGCCTTATCCTGGTACTCACTAACACCAATGCAATACTCAGTATGTGTTCAGTACTTGTGCAATACCTGATGTACATCAGTATGTCTGTGTCCTTGATGCTGATAGATGGACTTCTCTCTTCAGACACCCTGCATGAAAGCTTCATCAGTGTTACGATCCCTGGGTCTAGCTGTCCCGTCCTGCGGAGGTCCAGCGGAGGTCCAGCGGCCCCATGGTCTCTTCAGTCGTCTGTTTTTACCACACGGAGAATCAGCACCCTGGAGAGCAAGCGCTTCAGCCACACTCTGCTGGTTCAGCACCGTGGAGAGCCGTTGAATGTGCTCACTCCCAAGGCCCTAAGTGTGTGTTTGCATGGAATGTCATTGGTGGAAGTGTTTAAGCTGCAAATAAAATTGGGGGGCAGGTTGCCACAGGAATGCGGAAATGGGGTCCATACCTGCACTCCCTGACTTGTCCACTCCCAAGGTCTTATGTGCATATTTGTGTGATGATGTGAGGGAGCAGGAGGAGAGAAATATGCGGGGATGGGGAGGAATGGCTGGTTGGGCTTAGCCCTCCAGGGAGCCAGCTCCCTCACTGGCCCAAATAGGCACCTCTGTTGTCAAAATGCCACCCAGGGCATGAAGACCCCAGCCCATTCTACCAGGGCCCAAAGCAGCAGCATCACAGAGCCACACGGAGTCCGAGGGCACCAACCCAGCCCCACCCCAGCAGAATATCTACGCCCATCCCTGCATGCAACCATCTTAAACGTTTGCACAACTTCCAGATTATATCACATAGGACATCCAGGTAAGGTTGGGTCCTCCCCCTCCTGGACTTCTCCCTCCCCTATGATGGGACAGCAGAGGAGCCAAGGTCTACCTGAGACCCCTGAACCTGAGCCAGGCACTGCTGCATGTTCCTGCCTTCTCCCCGGCAGCATACATGTCAGGACCCGACCCCCAAGGCCCCGCCCAGGGGCAATGCAGCTGCCGGGCAGCGACCCATGGCCACCGCCAAGACCTCAAAGGGGCCCCAATCACAACCGCCAGTAGTCCATCCCCAGAGGGAACCCAAGCACCTCCAGAGGGGGGCAACAGCCCCCCCAGTCCCAGACACCCCCAGTGAACCCACCTCCAGGGAACGTCCAGATACTCCAAACTCAGACCCTCCACCCCCTCGCCCACATCATCCCGCAGGACAATATCAATGGTCCCCCGTCATCGCTATGTGATGGAACTGATCAAAGGAGCCCAGAGAGATTGATCTGAAGTGGAAACAGAGGCTATATCAAGTGTAATATGACCTAACAAAAGATTTCTATACTGGTTGATGCAAAGAGTATCTCTATTTTTCCAATTCAAGAGGATAGTTTTCTTAGCGATGCTTATGGCAGTCAGAACCACATGAACCACAGATGTTTCAATCGGGACATCGTCCAGGTTTCCCAGTAAACAAAGAGAGGGGGTGGTTGGGATATGACATTTCAGACACTTTGACAGGTCTTCACACACTCTACCCCAAAATTCCTGGACAGGTGGACAGGACCACAGTGCATGAATGTAATAGTCAGGAATGTTGTTTGTGCAGTGTGTACAGGTGTCAGACGACACAAACCCCATCTTGAACATCCGATGACCTGTATAGTGTACTCTGTGTAGAATTTTGTACTGAATTAATTGTAAATTGGGGTGTCTGATCATTTTAAAAGTTTTTAAACAAGTTTGGGACCAGAAGTCCTGGTCAAAGCTAACTGATAGATCCACCTCCCCTTTTTCAATAGGGATTGCTATTCTATCGTCTATTTTGGACAGTGTCTTATATACTTTAGACAGTACTTTGGGGGGTTTGAGATTATAGAAGTTTAATATCCTTGGTGGTGTTTGTAATTCTTTTTTATTGAGCTTAAATGTTTGCTTGACTACAGATTTAATTTGGTGATATTCTAAAAAGCTATTCTTATCTATTCCAAATTCTATTTAATGGGATGAAGTCCAATCCTTCATATATGTGTTCCAGGTATAGGCAAGGGCGTCAGTTTGTTTTCAGAATTGCTGGGGACAATAACCATACACCTGAGTGGGGTTTAAAAATTGCTGGGGACAATAAAGAAGGCTAGCACAGGGGTCGGCGGCTCTGTAGCCGCATGCGGCTCTTCCATCCATCTGATGCGGCTCTCTGGGCTTGTAAAATAATGAATGGATATTTAAATGAAAAGCTTTATATTTTACTGCATTAATTTTACATCTGTATGCCAATTCTAAAGGTAAAGATTGTCTGCGTAAACCTGAACAGGTCCAACCCGGTCTTACTGTGAGACCGGGTTGACGCGTCACGCTTGTGCGTATCATATGCGCTTCCTGAGCTGGAGAATGTCAGATTCTGGGCTTCTCCTCAGACAGGTTCCTGGATGCGTCGCCACATTGGAGACAGGAACAAGCGCTATTCAGCCAAAGTTTCATAATCAGGTGTGACAGTGTGAGTGTCCTGTCACAGTGTCCTGATAGATAATGCGCCCTGGCTACTTGGCCAAGGGGATGTCCCTTTGGCTGACTGGTTAGAGCGTATGACTCTCACCCGGGAGTCTGGGGATCGAATCCCACCTGGGCCTTCGTTTCTCCACCTTGCCACATATTGACGGATAAACTCAAGGATGTTGGTTGTTTTGAAATAATTACCCCGACGCACACTGATGCGCATGGATGACCTGACATTTTAATCGTTGCGCACATCGCAGAGGTAACTTGATTCCCATCAGAACATCAGAGCTTTATTCTGGACACTGTGTTCAGCACGGCTCGGAGTGCCCACGGTGGACAGTGGGCTGAAGATCTGAGGGGTTCGCAGCGCAGTACAGAACCACGGTGCGTGCGATAAGATTTCCTCCCACTGAAGCGTTCTGGAAACCCGGTCTCTCTGAGGGATGTCACTTGGAAAAATGTTCTTTTTATGAAATGATGAAACTTTGGCTGAACAGCGCTTGTTCCCGTCTCTAATATGCAGTAGCGGTTTTAGGCACGGGCAGACAGGGCAGTTGCCCGGGGCGGCATTTTTTCATGACACAAAAGGGGCGCACAAGCGCGGAGTAAAAAAAAAAAA